AAAGCATTTCTGTAGCTAGTTTTAATTGGGATTTTCAAATGATCAAATAGGTGAGCTGCTATAAGTCAAATAGGTCAATTATCTGGGTCTTGTATGCAAATTTTTGACACAAAGCACTTGAAATAAAAATGAAAATTGCCTTAGAGCAAGGGTTTTTAGATTTTTTTGGGTAAAAAGAGGGATAAGAAACGAAAAAGAGACAGGGATTGGCTGGAGGTTTCTCAAGGAGAAAAGGGGAAGGAAAAGAGCTCCATGCCTAGGGGCAGTCACGGGCGGGAGGCCCAGCCCCTCCCCTGCTCCGCACTCGCTTCCATATTTCCCCAGTCTCTCCATCTTTTTCACCTCTTCCAAATCTTAAGTCATTTTTTGAGGTTCCTTTTTCTTCTTAAATTTCTTTTCCTATTTAATTTGTTCTCTTTTTATTTTGCATTCACTACACTCTTGTTTTGACTCAACGGACTTGGCTTGGCAAATCACAAATCACAAATCATACCTTACTACTTTAAAAAAAACTAATGATTAAATGAATGAACTAATGAAATCACTAATGATCTCTTTATTACTTTGAAAATATGAAATATGGAATAGGATTAAATGGAATAGGGTTTTTTAAGTGAATTTCAAATTTCACATTATTTCACACCATAACCAGATCTAATTGTCCCGATCTTCAAAAAGTCTCGAATGCTCTCGATTCTCAAAAAAGATCGGAAATAGAATTGAAGTAGAATAGAGTTTTTTTTTCAAAATCAATTTCTATGGCATAGAAAAATAATGATTAAAGCGGTCACTAATGGTCTTAAATTCTCAAAGAAACCGTTCCAACTTGAAACATCGGATTTTGAAAGAAAAAACGACAAATTATTTTAAAAAAATAGTTTTATCTCTATTTGGAAAGACCTTGATTACTAGCGCAATGTATTACCTCAAAGTGAAACATACATTTTTCAAACAAAAAAACTCTATCTTCGTGATTTGGCTAAGTAAACCGTTTAGAGCTTTTAAAAACGTTAAATTAAAAATTTTTATTCTTAATAAATTGCATACCTACCGTAAATACTGTAATAGTCTTTGGTATCAAAACCCCCATAATGACGGTGCGGAGTGTTGCGTAGTCTAGCTTTGAACGAGTTTTTCTCGACACTGGTTTATGCTACAATGCGCGCTTAGGTATCAAAAAATAGCCCTGGACTTCAGCTATTTTTTGATACCAAAGACGCATTTTTTGAAAGGACGGGCGCTTTGAAAAAAATGAAATACTAAAAACGTTTGCGACTACGCGACTGTACGAGGGCGGTGGGGTACTATTACAGTATTTACGGTAGTTACATTTCATTATTGTTTTTCTATCTAATTTCTGTATTATTTCATAAAAAATAAAAGATTACAAAGTAAAAGTTTCAAAATTTCAGGTAAGTTTCAAAGAAATTTCTATTTAATTCCTCTAAGGCACTCAACAAACACAGATCAAAGCCGCTTTATGATCAGAAAACTTTTTTAGAAATAAATACAGTCGAACTTCGATACAACGAATTTGAAATTCTAAAAAGTGCACAAAATTTCTGCGTAGCTGCCCTAGCCAAATGCAATGGGTGGCCGTCCAGGGCAGCTACGCAGAAAATTTGAGGCATGTTTTAGTTTCGTTATATCAAAGTTTTCGGCCCTGAGCGATTCGTTATATCGAATTTCGACTGTACATCGAAATGAAATGAAAAATAGAAATGAAATAAAAATGTATATCCATCCATATGTTTATATCAATGCTCAAAATGTTGTTTCATTTTGAAAATGTTAGGTATCAGGTCAATAAAACGAGGAAAACGATGAGATCGATGGAAATTTGTGATGACTCTATAGAAAGAAAGAAGAAAAAGGTTTGACACTGGCGTACTGTTGTATAACAAAGATTTTTAAAAAAAAGCACTACGAGATTTCCTGATTTAAAAAGAAAGGTTTCAAATTGATGGAGAATTTTCCAAAAAAACTTTAAGATTAATGTGATACGGCATTGATGGGGTGAAGTCAAAGATAAAGCTTTTTTTTTATGCGAAATATATTCATCTTTATGTCTATTTGTGTATCATTGAATAGGGTAGAAGGGTTTTCTTCGTTTTTTCCCGAATCCACTTCAGTGTCCCGTCCATCTTTTCCTTTTAAAAAAGCCCAAAAAAGAAATTCCATTTCGGAGGCATTTCTGTGGCTTCTTTTTTTTTCCTTTTCGATGCGTTCAGCTTTTTGCGTTTTTCTCGAAGCATTTTCCTCTTTTTCATGGGAATTAGACTGAGATCGAGAGATGGATGACGAAAAAAAAGAGGAAAGAGATAAGATACATTCAAATGAAAGAAGTATTCGAAGAATTGAACAAATTCTATTTCTAAAACAAATTCTAATTCTAAAAATTTTAAACAATTAAATAATTCTAAATTCTAATTAAAAAATTAATTTAAGTCTAAATAATTCGAAATTTTGAGCACCATTTTTCAAGTTTTATCTTTTTTGCCAAAGTTTTCAAACTGGTGAGCTATAATATTTGCAAGAAATTTTATATCTTCTACTCTGTGACATCTATTCGTTTTTGTTGGTCAATAAAAGTTAAATTGATCTCGCATTAATAGGGAATGGATTCTTTATTGGCCACTGTGAGCAGTATTCCTTTTAAGATTAAACTTTTACGTAACTATTTTAAGTTACTTAAAAGCTTTCTAGGACTCCTAAGCTTTTCTAAGTTACTTAAAAGTTTTTAAGCTTTCTAGGACTTCTATTGAGCCGTATATTTGAACACAAATTTTCAAATGAATGCTAAAAATATTTAGGGACTAAATATATCAACATTTGTGGTCCGTATATAAGGATGATGAAAATTCTCCTGAACTAAGAGGAATTCTAAGAGTTAAGCCTTTAATCATGATCTTCTTATCCTCTTTTTGAGGTAAGAAACTCTTGACGTAAAAGATTTTGCATGTAAAATTGTTAATTTGTTATTAATTGAAACTTTTCACCCCAATAGTCGCTGGTGAAAAGAGCCTTTTTAAAGGAATCAACCGATCTTGAGTGATAACTGGTGAGCTATAATATTTGCAAGAGGTTTTATATCTTCTACTCTTTGACATCTATTCTTTTTTGTTGCTCAATAAAAGTGAAATGACAATGCATTGTTGATGTTGCTTTCTATAAAACATCAAAAAAAAGTTGTAGTTATTGTTGCAATTCTTATAAAAACATCAATGAGTTGAAGTATATAAAATTTCCGCTTTCCGTTTTCGATATTTCAATGTTTCAAGATTTACAACCACTACTCCCGAAACTCAAAATCAGTCCACTTCAAATTGGGTTTTAAAAAAATTGATTAAATTCTTCAAATACATAATTCAAAACTTTTCCGATGGAATTGACTTTTCCAGCCATTTTCTAGACGTCCAATGGTGAGAAAATTGCTGCTTCGCCTTTCAAATAAAAGCCTTTTCATAAAATTTCACAAATTGCTCTCAATGCGAAACTTTCAAGCGCAAGATCGAAACATTTTTCCGGCACAAAGTTCAAAAGTGAGATTGCAGAAAAGATGAAAGTTCAGAAAGCCACTTAAATCGGGATGCATGTCAAATTCGCATTGCTAAATGTGAAATTCAGGCTTTTATTCGCAGGATTTCTTATCAGCGTTTACAAAAACATTTTTTGGTGTTAGAAGTTCGAATTTAAATCTCGCTTCAAGAGGGCTTATACTGATGTGCAAAAAAAAATTGCGCGCATAAAATTCCAAAACATTTCAAAAATGGGATCCACGTTTAAATTTTAGTTTTCCTTTATTGAAAAACTGACTAGCGTGCTTATTGTAATATAGTAGATTTGTTTTTATTGCGGAAAAACTTCAAAGCTTACCATCTAAATCTAAGCTGGCATTAGGGGTTAAGAAAATTGCAGAAAAATGAAGTAAAAAGAAGGAAAAAAAAGCGAAACACATGCTTGTGATTTCTATGGGAAATAAAGAGAGGTCCCAAGAGTGAGAAAAATGAAAAGAAAAAAGGAAGAAAGGTTGGTGAATCCTTCGATTTTTCTCGGCTCAGCAGGACGGGGAATTTCCCCTTTTCTTTTCCCTCTTTTCCCATCTAAACGATGTGCACCTAAGGGCTCCTTTTTTTGTTGTCCAAAAAGGTTTTCCTATCCCTTTCCCATCTCTTTTCCAATCTCATCCAATCCGACTACCTTTTTGTTTTGTCCAGATCCCTCGCGTCTTTCAGGATTCTTTCAATTCTCACTTCTCCGCTCTTTTTTTCTTTTTCTTTTCTGATTTCTTTTTTTGTAGAGTTGGTCAAATATCTTTCCGTTTGAATGTTACAAGTTGTGCTAATAAAGTCATGTTTCCTAAATGTTGCCCTTCTAGAAAGGCTACAGTAATCCACCTATTTTGTTAGGTGAATTTAAGCTGCAATCAGTCAGATTCAAGCAAAATACAGACTCGCCAATTAGCTTTAACTTTTAAGTCAGCCGGAATGTGTACGGTAGTCAAAAAGTTGCTCATCTGGAAAAGTTACCGTAATCCACTGGGCTTAGCTAATGAAAGCAACTAGCTAGCCACTTACACATCATTCGAAGTACAAGTTGGATTGAGCAAGATACCCACTACGACTCATTCACTACTAGTCATCCAGAGCGAATGCGGTAGCTTTTTACGAGCGCTTTTACTTCTTTTCTCTTGAGGTGTTTCTCTTTAGGTGCGAAAGAAGTTAAAAGCGAGATTTTCACACGAGTTTGTACAAAAAAAGAAGAGAAATGAACTTTGTTTTGCAGAGACAATTTGATTGATGAGAAAAGGAAAATTGATGGCCACATCGAAGAGATTTGGGCGGAAATTCTAAAGCAAATGAATAAAAGAAGGTATGCACACAACTCACAAACCAATTTTCTCATCCATTTAATCTGGTGAGCTTTACCTACTCCTGTCATAGTTAAATTAGAGCTTTTAACACCAAAGATTCACAATAAACCCACTCACCTTTAACCTATTTCGTTCCGTAGAGACGCTGCGAAGCCGAGTAAAGTTTCCGTGGGTATTTCGGCTTCTCAGGAGTCGCCTCCACTCCACCACGCTCACTTCCATTGGAGAGAATCTAAAAAAATTTAAAAAGATCGATATTACTCTAATTCCCAACCTCTTTAACTTTTGCAGCAAGGACGCGGAATCGAGTGTTGAATTCCTTGAGATTCTTCTGCATGAAGCCAATGTTTTCCTGTAAAAAAATAATGTACTTCTTTAAACTTTTTCTTTATCACAGCACTTCTACAGTCTATCAAACAAAATCACCTACCGTATACTCGGCACTTGGTGGGGAGAGGGTTCCCACAGCAAAAGTCACGTTTCGCATGCAGCTTTGCGCCTTCAATAAATTCTTCACCGCCTTCGTCACATTTGTCTCAACCTAAAACATTAATAATCCAAGTTCTGATTTAAAAATTTACCTCAACAGCTCCATAAAAGACATTTTCGGCGGCACGTTTATCTTGAGGTGTCTTTTCATACCTAAAACAGTGAACTTTAAAATCTTTTTGAATTTAAAAAAGCTTTTCAGCTACAATACAATAGTTTTAAAACCAAAGTCCTTACTTTGCGTGTTTCCATCGATGTTCCATGCGAGTGGCCAGCGACGGGTTGCTGTACTCGTTCTTAACGGGCTTAAAGTCCAACTAAAAATCCATTTAGATAAGCACGTAAACTTAAAAACCGACCTCATCAGCTCCATAGTGATCAGCCCAAGCATGCATCATTCCATCACGATCATACTAAAACTGGAGCTGTAATAGCAAAGACAAAGAAAACCGTACCTTTCGATTGATGTTAGCTTCACGTTTCTTTGAAAGCTTCAGCTCGTGCTCCCAAATCGGCAAAATATGCATACATTCGATGCCTTGACAGTAACACAAAGGATCGTTGACACTAAACGATAACAATAAAAAGATTGTTAGCAACAGAGCTTAAAGAATTTAAAAGCAACCGTGTTTTCAATAAAACATTCAGAGTATTTAGCTTCTAGATACAAAGCAATAAATTAATCTACATGATGCGTGCTCGTTCCTTATATTGATAATCCCGTGGTTGCTTCTCGAAACGAGATGGACGACGGGGAATCACATTCTGAAGGTCGAGTTGGCGATGAGAGGAAATACGCTCGCGTTGATCGGTTGATTGAAAGCGACGCTCACGATGAGACGAATCGGTATATTGGCGACGATCCCGAGCAGAAACGAGCTGATCCTGGAAAAAAAACTAAACTAGAACGGACTCAAAATAGGCATGGCTTAAACCATGCTAAAGCGGTATTAATACTTTAAAATGGAAAACTTGCATGAGGTTCATATTGCTGCCGTTGATCATAATCCCTTTGATAGACGTTCTCCGTCATTTCCACCATTCGCTCATCATCGTCCTGATCTTTCTAAACGAAACAAAGAATTACAAAACTTAACAATTACATTTGCTAGCTATTAAACCATCAATAATCTTTAGAATCTTCAGCTTAATTTTAAAATTCAATTACTCAAATCCCTCACCCAAGTAATAGGTGGCCCTTTGGGTTGTCCTCCTTTCCGCACACGCACGTGAATTTGAGGTGGCTCGTTGTCTTGATGAGATGGACCCTAAAACATTATTTCAGGTAAATAATTCTAAAAGACCTAACCCGTGACTGAGTATAACGAAGCACTTCATTGCGGTTGACTTGGCGATTTTCACTGCGGAACATTGGCACTCCGACTTCCTAAAAATGGAGATGAACTTAATGATCTAATCGCAAGCAAGCTATGGTTTAACAGCATAAGCTATCTAGTCACTATTAGATTTTCCAGAAGGTCTTTTCATACCTTTTCGTACTTCCGTTTAAAACCAACAAATGCACCAATTGGAAAGGCCAATTATTTTTCTGCAACATAACATTAAAACGGGTTTAAAATGTCTTATGTCTAGATTTTTTGGAAACGTGAAGTCGGGTAGTCAAAAACGGCGACGGCTCGATGATGCGGTTTAGCCACTTTCGCTAAGGAAACCTACTTTGATGTCAATAAATAAAAGATAGACCATAAAAGGTTAGGTATATAGCCAAATTTTCAAAGAAATTGATTCAGCCAATTTCTTCGTAGAGGTTTTATAGATTTATACAAATAAACACGTTTTCACCCTCAAATTTGCTTGAAAGTGAACTCAAATTGACTTTAAAAGATGGGAAATTGAACAATAAACACTTTTTATTTAGAGCAAACCATAGGTTAATTGGTAAATTTGTGATTTTCCATAAGGAAATACGAAAAGGAGCGAAAAGACTCTCTGGACAGTGTAACAATATAAGCACTTCAAGTAAAAAAATACCTGAGCCGGCTTGTTTCTGGGTGGATGACGAAGCAGGGCAGTCTCATGACGTTGACGAGCGGCCGTTGCGGCAGCGATTGCCTCGCGAATGCATGTCTCCGATTCGGTGTGTCTAAAGTTGTAAAGTTGTATCTTGTAGAATTGAAATATGAAAAGAATCTTAAAACACAATAACATCACTCACTTAGTGGTGCTTGTAATTTCTTCTGCGTGAGGTGCTTTGGGCTTTTTTTGTTGATGAGGATTTGGCTTGTCCGGCTTGCCATTATTGTTGCTATAGAAATTCCTCTTCGGTGGTGGCTGTTGCTGAATGGGAGTTAAATGCTTGTTGAAACGATTTGCTCCTTGACGAGAATCCTTCACAGAAGCAGAACTCGAGCGGCTAAAAGTGAAAATTATTACACAACAATGAAGCTTTACTTACATTGCAAATTATAACTTATGCATTCAATACACTTATAAAATATCACTTATAAGTTTCCAATCTAATAAACAAGTCTAAAGCATTAAAACTTCTCACCAAATCTTCGTCTTTCTGTGGTTCAAATGGTAGTGCTGATTGTCGCGATGCATCGGCGGTTGTCGAGTGTAGTGCACAAGCTCGTCCACAACACATTCACGTCCATCAATTTCCACCTGAGCAATATGATTGATAAAAAACACAGAAAGAGATTCCAAACAACTACCAATTCCACTATTTTAAGATCAGATTGATTTACACAAGCAATATTGCTACAGGAACACTTAACGTATCACTTAAAATCTGTACCTGAACTCGGCTTGTCCGTCCACCTTGTGCGAAAACTTCGCGACTTTCGGAAAGCGTTTGAATCAGCGAGTCCAGCGTGGTCATCACATCAGCTGGTCTTTCCTAAAAAGGAGAAATGTATCAAGGAGTTAAAATTTCATTAATTGATACATGTAACGACTTGATTTAACTTAAAACAATGCAAAAATCACCTTGAAAGCGCCATATTTTCGATTGTTCCCATTGTTGTGATTCTTGTAATAGATTCCGTCTTCGAAGTCGGCAACGTTACTAAAAAAGTAAAAGATTAGAAATCGATGATCAATCAGTTAGTAGTCAATAATAAAAACAACATTGTTTTATCAAACAAAAACCGGGAAAAACTTATTGCTTGTGACACTTTCTTCAAGTGTAACAAGCTCTATTGACGCATTTCAGTGGCTAAAGTCTATCTAAAACGTGCTCTTATTAATCAACTAAGCGGTTGTTATCTTAAATTTGAGAAAACTATGTATCCAACAATTAAAAAAAACGCAAGCTAACCCAAGGCTTTAGGTTTTAGGTTTTCGTTCATTTCCGGAAAAAACGACGTTATCAATTTCAATCTCAATCTATCATTATCAATTTATCAAAGTCTCGTAGCGACTACGCAACTTTTCGCTTCTTAATAATGACGCTTTCTAGAATTTAGCTGTAAAACAACAAAACATAAGAGCTGTAAAAACAAATGACCTTCCTAACCATCAAAGAACCAAAAAACAATCAAATAAGTCAAAAAATTACCTCATTTTTCGATGATGATTTGTTGATCCGGAAGAGACAAAAAAATGTCCGAGGAATACAAAGAAACTAAGTGCTGGAGAAACGAGTTTATAAAATGGCGAAATAGGCGAGGGAAATGGTGAGAAAAATGATAAATGCAAACTATCGCATTCAAATTTTCCCGAATTTCGTCAACTCCGATAGTTTTTTGGAATTGTTCCCAAGCCAAGTGTTCTCCACGCTTTTTCATTTTTCAATGAGTCCCTTGGGATTCGAGAAGTTTATCCTCGTTGCTCAGAAATATGACACAAGTCGCCGATTTGTTTTCTTTCGAAAAGACATTTGTGGCTTCATCGTTGAAAACTTAAGCTCACATAAAGTAAATTCTAATTCGTGTTTTGGCTTAAATTTATTGTTTTCCACTGCAATTGTAATGGTAATTGGTTAATATGGACATTGAAATTACGATGGCTTTCGAAAGTTGACATGTTTTAAAGTGTGTTCCTCTAATAGTTTTCTAAAACGTGTCCCCTTTCGCTTTTACAATAATCTTGTCTATTTTATCCATCGATCGATGATTCAAGATCGAAAAATTGAATTGATTGGCTCAATTTCAACTTTTGTGATTCAAAAATGGTTTTGATCTTTGGTTTAGATTGTTAGGTTTTTATTTTGTCAGCTATTTTTCGAGTTTCTAACAGCTCAATCAAAAAAATACTATGGAGAATGATCGTTTAATTCAGTTTAAATTTTACAGCTCATTTTGTAAAACTATGCTTTCATATCTTTTGATATCATTTGAAACTCTTAAAGAATTCGACCAAAAAGTAGATAGATTCGATAAAAATAGTAGTGGTTTGTGATAGTTGGGACAAGTTTTAGAAACTTTCCACAAATTTAGCAGTTCAAACCTTTTTCTATCTTGATCACTGTGCAAAGCTATATCCATTGGGTCAAAAAGCTGTTTCCCTTTCAATCAAACGTATCTTCTTTATCTTTTTCTTTTCCAAAGATGCACGGACAGTTGAATTCGCATCGAAAATGCAACGATTTGTGCCTAGGACATAAAGGGTATAAGAAATTGAGAAAAGGAAAAGGGAAGAAAACACATGAATATCTGAAAAGGGGACGACAAGAGGATCTTCCACAACAAAATGCGAGATCTCTTGCAATTGCAATATCAACAACTTTTTGTACATCTAAACGGGATGTCTAACTTGTTGCTAAATTGATCTATCCTCCTATTTCTCAATTTTTTAACTTCCCTGAAGACTTGAAACTTTTTCAACTTTGTTTTCCTTATAGCTCTAAATTTTGAAACTAGCTTTTTCTAAATTTTATTCAACTTATTGAAAACAGATGAATTTTAAATAATTCCTGAAACAAAATCCAACTTTTTCTTTCTGAAATTAGTTTTTCTGACATTCAGATTTTCAAATTTGAATCCTGCCGGTTTATTTTACTCTTTAAACCTTTGATCCCAGCAACTTTGAAACTTGAAATAGAAAAATTAAAATTTTATTCAAATCCCATTGAACTATCGCTGAAAATTTTGGAATATCTACTACAAAAACTATTTTTTTTCAATTAGTAAACAAAATTTTACCATTGAATATTTTACCATTTTACCATTGAACAAAAAAACAAAACAAAACCATCGAATTTTTCAAAATTCGTCTGCTCCCCATCTCAATTGAAGTCAGATCTTCTCTTTTGATGCTAAATACTTTGAAACATTGCTTAAAAAGTCCCCAGTTGCAACCTGTCGAAATGGCTTTCCGATCAATGAATTTTCCGATTTTTTAAATTTCTGATTAAACGTAGTCATTTCAAAAGTAATCCTATTTTTTTAAAAACTCTTTCTAGACAAATAGCAAAATTTTAGGTTGATTGAAGCTGAAACGCAAAACTTATAGCTCTAAAAAGTTGGCGAGTCGTAGTCGGATTTCAAGTTTTAACCATTTTTTCATTTAAGAAAATAGATCTGTGTACTCGATGAGAAAGTTCTGTTTTTGCGGGGAAAATGTTTTCTAGAACGAAATTTCATCTAGATTTCGATTTTTTAAACTGTTTTTCAAAAAAATTTTCTGATCTTGACCTCTGCTAATCTTGATTTTAATCTTTCATCTTCGTCTTGATACTGAAACATTTTGAAACATAGTTTTTTTGTTAATTTGAAACTTTATTCAAACACTTCACGATTTGTCTTATTTATATCAAATCTGCCCATTGAATACTGAATGCTTTGAAACATTGCTTACCCTATGTAGCCTTATGTTTTATTTTTCATTTTTTTTTGCACAGAACTTTGATCTATCAGATCTATCAAATTCATTTTTTCATCAAAAATATTCATCGGTTTCCATGATGGAAAATCTTCTCTTACAGATGTTCCTCCAGAATTTCCTCTTTCTCTTGCTCTGTCAAATATTTTTGACATGCTACGGGCACGAGAATCCATGTCAGGTGAGTGAAAAGAACAATTTTGAGAAATGACTCTAAATTTCAAGTTTCCAATGTTGAAAGGCCCATGTCTTCAAAGTCTTTTTCGGTATTATTACGATATGGAAACGGATGAATGCAAAAAGTTCACCTACAGGTAAGGGAATTGTTTGAGGGTTAGTCATACTTACAAGAATGATTAAAATGTTGAAAGTGATAAAGAAATTGAGCGATTGAGATATTCAAAACATATCAATGAAATCTTGGAATAAACTTTGCTTTGTTTTACTTTGAAACACACTTTTTTTCGCTTCTGCATAACAATTCTTATCTTAAGTTTGATTTAATTAACTGAATCCTAGAAAGCTTGTTGAATGAACCCCATTAAAGTTATGGTTAATGTTGACACTGACTCTATTTTGAAACTCGGAACATTTCAGCGGTTGTGGCGGGAATCCAAATCGTTTCATTCGCCGGCAACAATGTCGACAGAAATGTGTAAAAGTGAGTGAATTTGGTTTCAAATTTATAAATAATGGTTTTGTCATGGAGAGAAGTTCTTTGATTTTGATTCAAAGTCAAAGTTCAAAGTTTGACTTTGACGTTTCAAATCAAGCCTACTTCTTGACAGACAAAAATGACAGTTTCAAGTTAATCGACTCCCAGACACAAATTTAGTGGACAATATTTTTCTCTTTATCTTTATCTTTGAACTGAACTAGACAATATCTTTATCATTTCTGTAAAAACTAGAAGCCAAAATAAGTAACTTGTATCTTAAAAATAAAGTTAACCAATTGCTTTATGAGATCTAATTTAAGATCTAATTTTTAGGATCAAAACAAGCGTGACAGCGATTTGGCAGCCGACTTGACGAGTTCCTCGAGGAATCCCGTTTTAGAAAGAATCTACAAAGCACAAAGAAACGAGGCACAACAACCACAAAAAGAGGTCAACGAAAAATATTACTAATCGAAGTTAGAAACGGCAATTAACCGAAATACCTTCAGAACAATGGTGATTACATTAACATCCACACTATTTTTCAATCAACAAGAAGTTGAGTCGTAAATTACAGATTATAATATAGGAAAAATGTATCTAAAAACAAAATTTGAACAATGAAAAAGAAGTTTTGTTCATATCAAGCGATAAATATTAGGCTTTTCCAGAAAGTCTTTTCTTTTCTTTTCGTTTCTTTTCGTACTTTCTTTAAAAAATAACAATTTCATCAATTAACCTACTGTAAATACTGTAATAGTACCCCATCCCCATAATGACGGTGCGTAGTGTTGCGTAGGCTAGCTTTGAACGAGTGTTTCTCGACACTGATTTATGCTACAATGCGCGCTTAGGTATCAAAAAATAACCCTTAATTTCAGGGCTATTTTTTGATACCAAAGACGCATTTTGTGAAAGTAGGGGCGCTTTGAAAAAGATGAAATACTAAAAAACTTTCGCGACTACGCGACTGTACGAGGGGGGCGGGGAACTATTACAGTATTTACGGTATGGTTTCCTCTAAATAAAAAGCGTTTATTGTACAATTCGTTTTTGGTTTTAGAAACTTTCCGGGTTGGGTAATTCGAACTAGAGATTTTTCCAATGTTTACTAACTTTAAACTTTAACTTTAATGTTCAGAATGTGGATGTTCAGAATTAGATAAAGCAGATTAAATAAAAACACTATTACTTGCAAAGCTAAAGCCAACGCACAACGCTCATTTGGTCAACTTTTAAACACAAACATTTTGCTCACTTTGAGAGCAATTTGAGAGCAATTTCATTTACAGAATCAAGGTCATCTCAACGACGATGCGAATTTTGCTCTCAAATCATCAAACGATGTCCATTCTACTTCCGGTTGTCCGATTTGTGATCCACTCTATGGAAGGTTTGAGTCTTGCAAGCATAGAATTAAAACTAGACTAAATATAACCATTAAAACTCGATTTTTGTGCATATCTGCTTCAATCTCTCAAAGAAATTTTTAATCACATTCATTTCTGCTTTTAAAGCTCCATTTTCAGCTGTGTCAACGGTCATTGCGAATGCAGGAAAGGTTTCAAATTGAGGGGCAAAATTTGTGTCGGTGAGTGGGATTTGGATTTGTTATTTTTAAACAATAAAAAAGCTTTTTTGCTGCTCTTGTGAGAAAAAAGTTTATAGATCGAGTTGAAGCTTATAGATTTGTAGCCGATCAATTTGAAACTCTCGTTTTTTTTTCCAGAGTTTTAATACATTGTTTTCAAAATAGGAGAAACGTCATCCGTTGAAGATTATCTAAATTATTTACTTGCAAAAAAATTAATCCTTAATTTTTTAGATGTAAACGAATGTCTTTTGCCGAATGCTTGTCCCGAATTCTCGAATTGCACAAACACATTTGGATCATTTCGTTGCGATTGTCCCGATGGGAAGTGCGATCAAGCGGCCGGTTGGTTGAAAAAAAAACTTTATAGGTATTTTATCAGTACCTAAAAACAGCTTGTTTTAAAAGATGATTCAAATTCAAATTCATCCTTGTTTCAAAAGTTTCAAATCTGTTCAATAGAATAGGAAGGCGTTTAGACTAATTCGGCTGCGTCACAGATCTATAAGGTGTTCAATATTTATGGGCACCAATAAATCACTACCGTAAATACTGTAATAGTTCCCCACCCCCCTCGTACAGTCGCGTGGTCGCAAAAGTTTTTTAGTATTTCATTTTTTTCAAAGGCGTCCGTACTTTCAAAAATGCGTGTTTGGTATCAAAAAAATAGCCTTGAATTTCAGCTATTTTTTGATACCTAAGCGCGCATTGTAGCATAAGCCAGTGTCGAGAAACACTCGTTCGAAGCTAGACTACGCAACACTTCGCACTGTCATTATGGAGGTGGGGTACTATTATAGTATTTACGGTAGGTTTAAAGCCCGTTTTGTACAAATCTAATGTTAAAAAAGAAACAAACATATCAAAAGCATATACTTTAACAAGTTTAAATAACGTTTTTTTTTTTTCAAAATTATTGCATTTCGCGTTAATTTTTGTCTAGAAACTCTTGTGGAAAGCGTTATATCGAATTTTTTGCACAAACGTATGCTAAGTTTTTTTGAAAGAATCAAAACTGAAAGATGATTCGAACATTTTTTAATGTTCCATAAATTTAAAACCTAGTAAATAGTAAAGAATTTTTTATCATTAAACGAGAATTTAGGTGTAATTTAGGTATAATTTAGTGATCGATTCTCAAAAAATCAATATTTCGCATAACAAATTGAGTAAACAGTAAAAGTAAGTGAGCATTTCTTTTTTCCAACTCTTTAATTCAAGGCTTTCTTACTGATTTTTCAATAAACCCATTATGAAAACAACCTTCAAACTTAAAAGTTCGCATAAATATTGAATATCCTATACATAATATTAAAAACATTATTAAAAAGCTGATACTGTCCGGCTATACCTTCGCACTCTAACACTTAGCCACTTTAGACCTATAAAATTGTTTCTATCTTCTTTATGTATATGTTTATCGAGTTAACTTTTGATCTAAAACTATTCCCTAAACATATCCTGTAGTCAAAGGGGCTAAAAAGCGTTTAAATTCTTTATACATCCACAAAAGTCTCAGAAAACTTAAAATATTCAGCTATTTGATTGAAAACTTTGATTTAATTGATAAACACTTGGCTTTAATAAAAATTTAAGTAGACTCGCCATTCTTTTAAAGATATTCACTTGCTCAATTAAATTTATGACCGAATTTCTATTGATTAGCTGAATATCTTTAAGAACATGGCGTTTTGCGAGGTATTTAACGAATTGATGGATCAACAACACGCATAGAGTGGGGGGTGGCTACTTTGCACAAATTTTTTGCACAACATGCCATAACTTTCTTTTAAGTGGGTCAATCTTTATGGTTTTGATGTCATTTGGTAGATCTCAACAGGTGCAGCAAAATGACACCAAAATCATAAAGATTAGCCGACTTAGAGGCAAGTTATGGCGCAAAGTAGCCACCTTCATAAAGTTGCAATTTTCTTGTTGGGTTTTAACTTTTGTAGCTTTTTCAAAAGAAAATGTTGTAGAGGAGCCAAAATTGCATTTTTGGGTATAATATGAGGCTGATCTGGAAAATGATTTTGGAGGAACTCTTAGAAAATGACTGAAAGAAAGAAAAGTTTAACTAGTCTTATAGCTCTCAAAGGTTCAAATATGAGTACAAAAATATAGTTGGACGAAAAAAACTTGTTATTTATATTATAAATTATGTAAATGGATAGATTTTTAAAAAGTTTCAAGGTTTTTTAAAAAAAAAAATTCTTTTCCAGAAGTTTGCGACGAGCCTTTCGATCGACGGTTGGCCGATGTTTGCGATGAGAATGTCAAGGAAAAACGGTATTTTTTTGAAATTCGTTAAATATCAAATGAAAATTAAAAGCTACTAATTGGAAGAACCTAGATATTTGAGTTTATTTATTAAAAAAATGAGCTAAGAGAGCTAATGAGCTATCTGGAAATGGACACAAACTTTTAAAAAGTATTGTGGAAACTTCTTACCATAAATACTATAATAGTACCCCAGTCCCATAATGACGGTGCGGAGTGTTGCGTAGTCTAGCTTTGAACGAGTTTTTCTCGACACTGGTTTATGCTACAATGCGCGCTTAGGTATCAAAAAATAGCTGAAATTCAAGGCTATTTTTTTGATACCAAAGACGCATTTTGTGAAAGTACGGGCACTTTGAAAAAAATGAAATACTAAAAAACTTTTGCGACTACGCGACTGTACGAGGGCGGTGGGGTACTATTACAGTATCTACGGTAGCTCAAAATTAAGTAATCAAGTGCTTTTAAAGTTGTAGTTTCAAGTTGCGCGATCTTTAAGCTTATGACCAAGGCTTAACACATTCACGACAAAGCCATTTGTGTTTTTTTGGCTTTTTGGCTCTCGTTTCAGACGACAGATATTAGCTGTAAATCTGAAAATTTTACGGTATGTATTTTTGTTTGTGAAAAGTTTAGAAAAGCCAGCTTTTCTCGAAATTTCATTAAATTTTAAGAATAAACAATAAATTTCAGGTTTTATTTCGATTCCGACTCATCAACTTGCAAAGAGTTCGTTTTTGCGGGATGTGAGTCGAAAGCGAGGAATCTCTTTGTTGATTCACATGTAAGAATTTGCAAAAATTAACCAAATTAGTTATTATAAATCTCGTTAAACAAATTTAATTTAAAAATTGATTTAAAGCTTGTTTCACTGATTGATTGATTGAAACTCGATTGACTTTGTTTTTGTAAGGAAATCTCGTCAACAAATTAAGTTTCACATACAATTTTAGAAGAGTTGAAAGTTGAAAGAAGGCGACTTTCCGAACTCTAGCTCGAATTTTAAATGTAAAGCTTTAGCCAACTCTAACTCTGACTTTATTCTAAATACAACTTCTGGCTGAATTTTTGCGACTAAAGCATAGTCACCGTGGCGCAGTAAGGAGCACTCTTGTCTACAGTCCACACGAGCCGGGCTCGCCCCCTCCTTCCCCATAGTGCCACTGAACTTTGAATTTTTCATTTTTTCTTTCAAATTACACAACTATATTAGATTTTAAGACTTTTTAAGCAATTTCAGTTTTTTTGGCTCAAAGACGGCTGAGAAAAAGCCTGTAAAAGCTACTCTTTTATATATAGTAGATTTATAAAACTTCACAAAATTAGGAACCACTAAAATTTCTGATTCAGACATGCGAGAAGATCTGCGCGGCAAAAGTGAAACAACACTATCGAGAGAATTTGGAGAAAAACGAGCAAAAAAATGTTGTGAATGTGAAAATAGAGACTGGAGTGGGAAAAGAAGAAAACGAAGTACATGGGAAAATCGAGATTCCGAAAACCACCACAAAATCCCCGGAGATCGAAGTGACAACGGGGAAAACAGATCGAGAAGAATGGAATCCGAATGAGGGTTCGTGGAAAGCTGAATTAAACAAATCTTACTAGGGAATTTTGTTAACTTATCGTGGCTTTTGACTCGCGGAATAGCCTATCTGATGCGGGTTTTCACGCTGATTCCGAATCTGCAATCAGCTTTTACCAAACGCTTCCCTATCGCGAGATATTTAGCATACAAGTTTTTGTGGCCTCTTTATGAAGGCGGCGCACTCTCTTCAGTCAACGGATAGTGTAGTGGTTAGTGCGCGCGTTTGCCGGGCGTATGCCTTTTGGACCCCGAGTGTTCGAGTCCTTTCAACGAAAATTTTTCGTTGTTTTGAAGTTTTATTGTTTCCTATAAAGCCAAACCCGTCCCTGTTTGCTTACCCGTTAAGGCAATTACCGAGGAGAACCGCGCAGAAGTAGGTACACTCTCCTCCGTTGCGGTCGAAGCCACAAGGGGTCCTAAAGAGGACCATTGGGTTTGGAGTCCTATTGTGAACTTTTTGCTTTTTTGGAAGCTTAAAGGTAACCCTATCAGATGTGAAATTTCTTGAAAGAAACAAATATCTCGCGATAGGGAAGCGTTTGGTAAAAACTGATTGCAGATTCGGAATCAGCGTGAAAAACTGCATCAAATAGGCTATTTCCAAGCCACGATAAGTTAACAACATTCTCTAGTTAGAGAAGTTGTTGAAATTGAAACAATCATTACAAAAACGTTAGTATGAATAGTCAAAAGTATCATTTTCAAGCTTTAAGTCTTAAATATTAAAATTTTACCAGTAGTGGAAGCGTTTTATATTGTTCAAAACAATTGTAAAAGTCAATTTTCAATCTAATCAGCATTAGAGGAACGGCCAATCAAATATAAAACATTATCATATTCTGCTTTTACCATAAAAAATTTATTTATAAGTTCATAAACATCTTACAGTTGAATGCTGTAGTATTTGAAGTTAAATTTACTGTATTTACAAACGTTTTCAGACATTTGCATCAAACCATTCGACGAGGTTCTCCGTTTGGAATGCATTGAGGCGACGTGGACCGAGAAATTTTTCTGGAATCACAAAGCAAAAGTGGGAAAAAGCTATCGAAATAATAAAAGCTTTGGAAATTAATGATTAAAACATTTTGGTCCTTTTCAGGACTGCGAACCCTTTTGGTATGACACATCGTGTGATCCGAAAGATCTCTTCGGCAAGAATTTCTTCGACACTTCGGGGAATTGTTTGAAAAGATGCAATTCGACAAAGATCACTAGTGAGTTTAATAAGGGAATGATGAAAAGAACAAATGCGGAACCCACTCGAGTATTAATTTCGTAGCCATCGCTCCGTAAATGCTGAATTTGAAACTGGCAAATTTTGTTTTTGATTTGCATGAAGAAAGTAGGCTTAAAATTTTTGAATCATTGCTTTTATGATGATTTTTTTTTGAATCATTGCTTTTAAACTTGAAACTCGTAGAATTTATCGGGATTATTAAAAAAGTAATAATAATTAGTAATAAAACAATAATCTTCAAAAGAAAGTTCAAATTTCGGCCTGGGAATTTTTTTGATTCGATAAATTTTCGAATTAACTAATTTTGAGCTCATTAGACAGTAACAACTAAATTTGAAACTCGCAAATTTTCAGCAACCCTCCCAATCACTGTCACCTCGACGCAAGCATCTATTGTTACGGAAAAAACGGCTTTGGTAGATTTTAGTTGAATATTCAATTTGATAAATACTTTAAAATAAAAAGAAACTATTTTAGGTGTCTGAGAAAGAGGCAGAGCTGCTCGAGGTGCCGAAGCGACGAAATCGCTTCACCGTGCCAACGGACAGCTGGATTTGGGAAACGACAACGGTATTTTGATCTCACTATCAATGGATAAACATTAGAAATTCTATTTTACACTATTTTATAAGTCTTTGCAGATATTTAGATATAATATGCTGAAGATTTTCCAGGCAAAAAATTAATGTTTCAAAGAATTCAACTAGAGTGAAAAAATTACGATTTTAATGTATTAACATGTTTTTTTGTGAATTTTTCTTGACTTAAAACAACTTGAATTTATAATCCTACAAATCAAGTAAAATTAGTCTTTTTTAAAACCAATTTTATCCATTTTCAGAGATCCGCTGATTTCTGGTCGACTCGTTCCCCAATCATCTCCCCGAATGAAACCCCTCAACCACCACCAAAAGATTTCCCTCAAATCCCGCCAACTCTCGTCACTTTCCCTCCGAAAATCCCCGCGCAAAAAGAAGTGGAAATCGAGGTGGAAAAGGTTGATATAAAGGTGGGTTTGGGAAGAAAACGCGGGTATATTAGAATTTATTCAATTGTGATGAGAGCTTCGTTCCTTTTCGTATTTCCTTATGGAAAATCACAAATTCACCAATTAACCTATGGTTTGCTCTATATAAAAAGCGTTTATTTTTCAATTTTCCATCTTTTTAAGTCAATTTCGATTCACTTTCAAGCAAATTCGAAAGGGAAAATTGTGTTTTTCGTAAAAAAAATTCTATAAAACCTCTACGAAGAAATTGGCTGAATCAATTTCTTTGAAAATTTGGCTATATACCTAACCTTTTATGGTCTATCTTTTATTTATTGACATCAAAGTAGGTTTCCTTAGCGAAAGTGGCTAAACCGCATCATTGAGCGCGCCTTTTTTGACTACCGGACTTCACGTTTCCAAAAAATCCAGACATAAGACATTTTAAACCCGTTTTAATGTTATGTTGCAGAAAAATAGCTGGCCTTTCCAATTGGTGCATTTGTTGGTTTTAAACGGAAGTACGAAAAGGTATGAAAACACTAACGAAGCTATAAGATCCAAAGCTTGAAATGAAAGCTTTCATGTTTTGATGCCATTTTTGGTACTACCAATTTGGTGTCTCGATTTCTACAAGAAAAACACGTGTCAAAATCGTCAGGCAAAAGTACGAAAAGGAATGAAAAGATTTTCTGGAAAAACCTAATATAAATTGCTCGTTCAAGTTAAAATTTCAACAGTTAAATGGGCTCAAAGTTAACAAATTTAGCTGAATATTTTGATTTTGTTCTCCAATAGAAAAAATTGACGCGTTCCTTTTTGGCTGTGCTACTTTTAAACTTTTGATGAGATCGTGACTGAAAAAGCTATTTTCAATATTGTCCACTCTAGATTGGCATGTGATCAAATAATAATCCGTGCTCGCAAACGTCTATTTTCACAGCTAACTCGTTGTGAAACAAACACAAAAGATTTCTTTTTTTTGAAAATCTTTCTAAATTGTCCAAAGAATTTCCTTCATCAAGTGAAATATTTTGAAAGCACTTTTTTTTAGCCATATGATCCCTGCTTCGATCAACTTGACTCAAAATTGGAAGAAGATTGCAAAGGGGAGACATGGGAGATTCGATGGTAAACTTTTATTTTAATAAAAAAAATAATAAAACTGAATACTTTTTAGTGAGAAAGGAAAAATTCCAGGCACTTCAACCCACAGAAGAAATCATGTAAACGTTTCTGGTGGGGCGGCTGTGAGAGCAAGTCGAAGAATTTCTTCGAGGACGCGGAGGTCAGAAATTAACATTTATCAAGTTTAACATGAGTAAAGAAGTAGGAAAATTTGCATTCCAGACTTGCAAAACAATTTGCGGGCATCGTTTTGTGAGCGAGAGTGATGGAGGGACGCATTTCCCGATCACGCAAAATATCGAAAATGAAATTGTTGGTGAGTGGATGAGTTTGGAAAATATTTAAAGTTTACAATCTGTTGTTGAATGCGCTTATAGTTACCGTAAATACTGTAATAGTAGCCCGCTCGCATAAATGTTGAATTGGTGCGGAGCGTTGCGTAGTCTAGCTTTGAACGAGTTTTTCTCGACACTGGTTTATGCTACAAGGTGCGTTTAAGCATCAAAAAATAGCTGAAATTCAGGGCTATTTTTTGATATCAAAGACGCATTTTTTGAAAGTACCAGCGCTTTGAAAAAAATGAAAAACTAAAAAACAAAGCGGCTTTTTTGAAACACCACGTACGAAACTGTAAGAACTGTTCCTGTAAAAGTAAAAAGGTTTCAAAAAAATGCGTAACATAAATATTTTAGTGACCACAGAAGCGACAACAGTGAAGACGAGGAAACCGATGGAGATCGTGGAAGAATTGAGCACCGATGAAGTTACGACAAGAACAACTGCTACAAGCACGACCACCACTACTACAAAACGGCCAACCATAACCGATGAACAGAAAATCTGGCTGAATGCCGATTTTGAGGTTTGCAACAAGTTAAAGCAAAGAAAACGGCCGAATTGCCATTGAGTCAATGTTGTATGTTGAATATTTTGAAACTTACAATTAAACTTACTAAATTTATTTCGACTTTTGCGAATCTTTTTTAGCAAAATTGTTACCTCACTGACATCAGCTATTTTTAAAATTCTTAACCTTTCAGGAATCTTTGAAACTCTCGACTTTCGCACCAATTCAAATTCACGAAACAACAGAGTTCGTTCAAAAAGCCGTCGACCAGGCACCGCAAGTGAGTTTTAAAATCGAAAAAAGAGAAGTATGTTTCAGAAATTTTTATCGGAAAAGCTTTTAAAGCTTGGATTTAAATTTGTTATTTTTATGTACAGTCATGTGCAAAAGTCTTTTCACATTCAATTTTCTTTGATAAAGTTCATGGCGCTCTTTAGGCTAGTAATAGTTTTAGTTACATAAATATATGTACAATTTATTTACACAAATGCTATCGCTATACAGTACTTATTCATCGAGAAAAAAATATAATTGTCAAAACACCCCTGAAAATCGTGGTGCAAAAGTCTTTCCACCCAAAACGAAATTAAGCTTTAATCAATATTTAGTCGCTCCTCCTTTTGCCAAAAGTACTTCCTTAATACGAGTAGGCATCGATGCAATTAATTCATTAAGAATTCCAAGTCCAAGCGTCCTCCAAATTTTTCTGGTGTAAAACCATGGCTCAACTTTAGAATTGAATCGTTTTCCACGCAATTTCGATTTCAAATAAGCCCATAAATTCTCAATAACATTTAAATCCGGTGAGAATGGCGGAGCTTTGATTAAAGAAACGTGATTGATTCCAAACCATCCCGGTAAATGTGCTTTTCCTTCATTCGAGAGAGTCACAACGCGGCCCATCAAAAGTTTGCTTTTGTGTACTGGCGAATTATCTTGATAAAGAAACCATCCTGAATTCATCGAAGCAGTCGCAAATGGAAGTAGACATCTGTCCAACATCTCAATTGGCGGGAATTCATTGTTGACTTTACGAGGACAAGCCGACCTGTTGAACTTTTACACATCGCACCTAAAGAAATCATGTTGAGCTGCATAAAAAGAAAATGATCCTTACCGAAACACATAATTGATCCTCCGCCTGTTTTCACCGTGAGTTGCAAGTACTTGAGTTTATATCGCTTTCCAATTGAATGTCGGATCAGATAATTTAGATTTGAAGGAAAAATATCAACTTTTGTTTCATCAACAAAAATCACTCGGGCTCAATCATCGATTGTCCAATTTGAATAGGTTCGAGCAAATTGAAGGCGTTGCCTCCTGTGTTTGGCTGTCATCATAGGCTTGAAAGCAGGTCTTCTAGTATACAATACTGCTTGAAGCAAGCGTCGATGCAGCGGGAAATATTCTTGTTTGAAGTTTGCTTGAAAAGAATGACTCCATCGTTCAACGTCAAATTCGGATCCTTCTTGAAAACTCCCGTAAGGAATCGGTCTTCATTCTTTGTTGTAATCCTCGGCCGTCCCTTTTTCCTACATCTGTGCACATTTCGAGACGCATTCATTTTTGCCATAACAAGAGAAACTGTTCTGGGCGTACATCCTAAGAGGCGAGCAACGTCTTGTCGTGGCATTCCTTCCTTCCTTGCCTCGACGATCCTTTCTTTATCCGGAGTTGACAAGTACGCTCCTGGCATCTAAAAAAAATAAAATAGTACCAGTAAATACGAAGCGAACGGAAATAATAAAAATTTTACCGTATTTCTAAATATGAATATTAACATTGTGTAGCCCTTGAAAAGAGCTTTCAGAAAATGTATAACACCAATAGTTTAAACTCAAAGATAAGGGAGTTACAGACACGGGAAAGTGACGATCGTTTTTCAAATATGTTGTTTCATTGTCCAGGACTGTAGATCGGACTTAAACGCGGAAATTTTTTACTTTACTGCAACGTGCGAATGAAATTGTTATATCAAGTGAACATTTTCAATTTCTTTTCCAATTCATTCCAGGAAACTACTCCGACAAACAACGCGAAGAGTTTTGATCCGTGTTTGGATCCATTTGACATCAAATTCGAATCGGATTGCAGTGAGGACAATTGGGTGGCAAGGTAGGGAAAAAGATGAAAAATCTTTTGGTGTTTCAAAGTTTGCAACTTAAAAGTAAATTCTTGCTGTTCAATGCATGGTGACTATTGATGAAGCTTTCAAATCTCGATAAAAATTACATTGAAACTTAAATGATACATCTCAGGAGTTTCTTCGACGCCGAAAAACTCGATTGTCGTCGTTTCTGGTACGGTGGATGCTCGTCGAAATCGCAGAATTTGTTCCAAGATCAAAATGTGAGTGATGGGGATGAGAAATGACAAGAAATATAGCTTTTTGATAGGAAAGCAGTCAATCATGACAACGAATTGTCTATACTTTCGAGATTTTGAAACACGATCTAGCCTAGTCGATAGAAAATCGGACAGGGAATCCGAATCTGGAACGAAAGTCTACTGAATAGCTCGTAAACGCGAGATTTCTGGCATCAATTCTGGCACTCTCGAGCTGAGTTTACGTTTCTATTTCAATGGCGGTCGTGGTGTAGTGGATAGTGTACTTGTCTACGAAACGGATGGAATTCTCGTAGTGAGTTCGAATCTCTGAAGTTCGAACGTGTTCAAATTTTGTTTGTAGATGGCCCCAAAAAGAAGAAGCTGCAAATTTGTACCCTTAGGTTTTCGGGATCGGCGAATCGATTAGAGCTATTCATTTGATCGAATATTCAATTGAGACTCGGATTTAATTCGGCTAAACTTTTAGATCACTTATTGAGTCGATTAGCGAGGATTTCTAAGTCATAATCCAAAACGAATTCTTTCAGAGCTGTCGTCTCGCGTGTGCCCATCTGATCCCAACCGTTCACCCTCCATCATTCATCTCGTTGGATGGCGTTCATTCAAATCGTATCCTCATCTTTTTCTTCTGAACAAATCACTTATGAAAGCACCGAGTTCCCGCTTGTGCACTTGCAGAAAGAGCAAAAAGGCTCAGCTCACGAGTTGCCCATTTCCAGCTTTGATTTGGATTTCTATCACGAGAATTCTTTAGAGAATTTGCTTGATAGCTTTCAGTTTCAAGACGGGGAGCGATATGAGGATTTCTTGATCGAAAAGAGTACAATGATTGCTGATGAGCTGAGGGGGAAACATAGGAGAAGGAAGAGCACAAAGAGCACGAAAAGTTTCGGGAATGAGCACAGTTTTAGGGATGGAATTAGGCTTGTGACGACGATAAAGGATGAATCGGTTACAAGTACAGAAAGCTCAACAGATGATCGGATTTCGGATATGAAAACTTCAACAATAGCTGAAGATTTGATGTACTCTGATGTATTGAAAGAAATGGAAAAGTTGGCCACAACAACTCTACCAGAAAAATCGCCAATTCTGGGTGACAAATTGGATCCAGCAAGCAGTTCAACTACAATTCCAGAAGTGGATTTGAAAATGGATCCTGGCCCAGCAAATGGCTTCAAACTTCAAGATGACGTGGTCAAAACACGCTTTGTATTGACTAAATCAGATTTCTTGGCTAAAACAACACCAAGTTGGATAGAGGACAGGGATATAATTGATGAATCAACTTCAACTATAGCTCTTGATTTGAAAATTCCTTTGAATCTTGAGAACTTGGAAAAAAATGTAACCAAAGATACCATTGTTGAAGCCGAGAACTTTGAAACTTCAACAATTCCAATAAAAATCTAAGCAAAGTCAATTCTGTATTAGAAAAAATTAGCAATTCTGAGCCACCAACAACTTTGGATTTAGTCAACTCTCAATCAATTCCATCAAGCAATTCTAGTTTTGAAAATTTTACGATGTATGATAACTCCGATATTGAATCACTAAACAACCCCAACATTGAAACATCGACTTTTCAATCTAACAAAACTCTCAAAAATCTAACAAAACATGGAAAATCAAATATTAACGATAAACTGCCAACTTTGACTCCAATTTTTGAAAGTTTTTGGAGAAAAAAGATCGATTCTTGGTCAACAGAAACTCTTGAAACGACAACAATTTCAAATTCCGCTGAAACGGTGAAACTAGGATTTAATGAGGAAAAGGGAACAACGAAAACCTCGGAAAACATCAAGAATTCTACATCTGGCACAATTTTGTCCAAGAATTCGACAACAATCACAGTTTTCGATTTCAAAGAAGAAACTTTCGAGCCAGTTTTGCAAATTGAGCTTGAAAACAGTAGCCAGCTTGCGGAGAATTTGAAAAATTTTGAAACTCACGCTTTTTTCACGCCCCCACGTCGCACCCATACCACAAAAGCGCCAAAAAGCACCGAAAGCACTGAGATTTTGAAAATTTTAGAAACTTCGAATGATTCTACAACTACAGACAATGAATTTTTCAAGGATTCATCGACTTTTGAGCCAAACATTCTTCCAATGAAAATAAAAGGCGCAAAGAAGCCGCAGAAAGGTCAAAAATACAATGAAAATCCGATTTTTGTGTCTGAGAATCAACCAAAAATTGATATGACTGTTTTGCCTGAAAATTTGACTTTAAAACGAACTAATAAAACAACGGTAGTCAGTCCATCGGCTTTTAAACTCAAAGCCACAGTGACGACGAAAATTCCGGATCCTCCTGGAGCATCGAACTTGCAAGAATTCGTGAAAACCGAGGAGAAGCTGGGAGATTTGGGGAATTCCGTGAAATTCGAGGATTTGACAAAGAAAAATGCGGAAATCGATGTCAAAACGGGAATTTTCGCAAAACAGGAAGATCACCAAGAATTCGGGAATGCAAATTCTCCCCTTGAACATCAAGATATTCAGCTGAATGAGCAAAGAAATGGGATTAAAGAGGATTTCCCCGTGAAACCACAGGAAATTCACTCGAAAAGCTACAATTTGATCTCGGAATTGCCGAAAAACCACGATTTCTCCTCGCGAACCCATCTCGCCGTCACGATTGCTGGTTCGTTTTTCGCATGCTTTTACGTTTTATTTTAGACTTTTGATACTTGTAGATCTACCATAATCTTTAGCTAGATAGTCTTTCATTCTAGAAGAACAGGAACAAGAGTTACCCTAGGTTATAGTGGTTTTAACAAATAAAGCTTTAGAAAAGAACTTTTGAAAAAGTTGAGTTTCAAAGTGGATCATGTATAGCCTATAGGCAATTCATTAATGGCTTCGTTTGACCATCTGCCCTCCTTTCCTCTTTCTACCGTAATCTTGTCTTCAATTTTTATCGAATCTATCCACGTTTTGTTCTGGTTCTGTACAGGTTTAAAAACGATATCGAAAAATGCAAAAATTGGATAGATTCGATAAAAATAGAGACAAATTCCGGTAGAAAGGGAAAAGGGCGATGTTTTAGGAAATGGGTTCCTCTTTCCACTAATCCACTTTCTAAATCGTTTTCTAAATCCACCCTTTCCCCGTTCTACCGTAATCTTGTCGTCAATTTTTGTCGAATCTATCCACTTTTTGTATCTTTCGATATCTTTTCTAAACCCTCACAGGATTAGACTGAAAAGTAGATGGATCAGGTAGGAATTTGTTATTGAGGACTTTACAAGATCATTAGTTTCAAAAAAACAACTGGCCAAGTGTTATTTTGAAACTCAACTTTTTCCTTCAGTGAAACACTAGAAACCATAATTTATATTCGATTTTTAAAGTTTCCAGCAAAGTTAAGATTTTAATTGATACATTGATTTAATTGATTTGATTTGCTAGAAGATACAAAAAGTGAATAGATTAGAGACCGGATTACGGTAATGAAGGGGACACATTTTAGAGAAACGGATTAAAAGTTTCCTGTTTCAAAAGCTTCTGTAATTTTCATTGATAGGAATTTGATAAGCAACAGATCCACAAGTACCAAAAGCCATTTTGTTTTTCTTTTTCTTTTTTATCCAGTTAGTTTCCCTTCAAAAAACACGCGCCTTCAGCAGCACGGTGAAGTTTTTTGGTTTGAGAAAAAAAGAGAATTTTCTGTAAATCTAATTGTTATTTAGTTTGAAAATGAAAGAGATGATCGATTTTTAAAAAAAAACACAGGAAAAGGTTGAAATTTGTCAGGATTGACAGAAAAAATGACAGTATTTGACCAATTCATTAACCGAATCACTGACTGAATTTTGAAGTTTCAAAATACTCAAGCTTTGGTATTAATTTAAAAATTTAATGAAAATTCAATTCAAATTTTAAAAAATCAAAACCAAAACCAATAAAAAATCGATGATCTCGTTTAAAAATTTGATTTTCCCTGAAAAACAAAGCATGGCTTTAGGTGTGGCTGATCGGAGAAGGTCTTGAGAATGAAATGAAATGAATGAATGAATCAGTGAATGAAATCGAGAAACGAATTCGGCATGTCTGAAGGGCCACACTTTCCTTTTTTTTTTCTTGTGAATCCGTTTCTGTTTCTTGTCCGATTTGTGAACTTTTTTCGTTAGAAGCTAAGCGCTTTCAAATCATTTTTCTTTATAAAACGATACTCTCTGTCGGCTAGGATTTCGATGTTTCAAAGGAATCAATCTGGGGAAATTTTGTTTCAATTTCAATTTCAAACAACAATAATTTAGTCAAAGATACCGCAAGCTTAAAGTAAGAATTGTTTTTTAAAGGAATCAAAGTTAAATCATCAGTTTCTAGACGCTTTATCGGATTTGAATGAATCAAAGAAATCAATTTGATTTCACAAATTAATTTTTAATGCTTTAAATAAAAACTTTTAAAATAATAAATAGAAAAATAAATAAATGAATAAAATCATAAATAGACAAATAAATGCAGTCGACTCTCTCTATAACGGAACTCTATATAGTGGAAAGCTCTCTATAACGGAATGGAAGAAAGGCCGACGCTAAGCTACACTACTGGACAATGAAATATGATATTTGAAAAACGATCGTCACTTTCGCGCGTCTGTAACTCCCTTGTCTTTACCGTATTTCTAAATATTAATATTGCCATTGTGTAGCCCTTGAAAAGAGCTTTCAGAAAATGTATTAGGTTGAGGAAAAAAATAATGTCCTTTTTGAATTCCCGTTGTTGGCAATTTTCCAGTTCTTTGCTTATCCGGAAGACAGCATTAGCGAAAGACAATGCCAAAGATGGTTTCATCGGTTCAAAAATGGAAATGAAAGTCTCCAAGACCAGGAACGGTCTGGACGATCAAAGATCAACCCCCACAACCAAAACCGTCATTACGTTTTCCTCAACCTAATATAACACTAATAGTTTAAACTCAAAGACAAGGGAGTTACAGACGCGCGAAAGTGACGATCGTTTTTCAAATATCATATTTCATTGTCCAGTAGTGTATATATAACGGCACTCTATATAACGGAAAATTTTGGTTTATTCCACTCCGTTATAGAGAGAGTCGACTGTAAATAGAAAAATAAATAGATAATAAACAATAAAACTAAAGTAAGAACTACGTTTAGGAGTTCAATTGAAACACATTATTTTAATTTTAAAAACCCTCCCATGCAAGCAAAAATTGATTGAAATGTTTTTGTTAACAAAATAACCAGGAAAGACCGTGATTTAGTAGGAAAACAAGCTTTAAAGGCATTTCATTTAAAACATTTGTCTTTTCTGATTTGATCTTTTTCCTAGTTGATCGTTTCTTCCTCTCAGCTCAGCTCAGCTCAGCCCAGCTTTGAATTGATCTTCTTGCAATGCTTGAAGAAGATCAATTCAAAAGAATAAAGGTCGCTAGTTATATTCTGAAATTCGTTTAGAAACAATCTTTTGAATAATGAACAAATGAAAAGATCATCGATTTCGAAAAGACGCCAGTTCTTTTCTAGAGTATTCTTCATGGCTTGATTCTGATTTTGACGAGATTTTAGGGAAATTTTGGAATATTCTGCTCCTGCTACTGCTACTAGTAAAATTGATTTTTCCACAGATACCCATTTCTTTGAAACATCAAAATCCCTTCCCAATCTTTTATCAAATTCGATTTATCGATTCTTTTCAATAGGATTTCCCATTTCACCAACGAATTCTTTAGCGCTTTCCCCATTTTCTTTCCTTTTCTGTCCATTTTGATGTTCAAGCTTTCTAAAAGCTTTCCCCCAAACTGCGTGTTAATAAATTTCTTGTTTTTCTTTTCTAAACGAAAGAAAAGCCATTCATTTTTGATTAAATAACACATGAATGGGAAAGAATGGATAAAGAGATAGGGATTGTTTTGAAAACAAATTTTCTTAGGGACGAGGGGAAGTGTGGATTACTATAATAGAATTTTATAATGGAATTTTATAGTGCACTTTTTTAATTAAATTTTAAATTTTTTATTTTTTTTTTTTCAAAAAATGTTAATTTTTTTTTTTAGATCGATTAAGTTTGTTTAAAAAGTTTCGCTATTTTTAAAAAAAGGCAAAACAAAATCGGTGACTAGATACGGATCAAAAGTCAAATTTTTATCGACTACGCAACGCTTCTCATTCTATTAGAAGACTTGCGATATCTTACGGGATTTATGTACTTTGGATAGTTGGGGTGAAAAGCTACTTACTTTACTTTCATTTACTTTACTTTACTTATTGGGGAGATACTTTACTGGTTTTAGATTACCGTATTTCTTCGAATAGAAGACCGGGTAAGAGTATCATCGCGTACTCCTGCGTAGCAGCCCTTTTTAAAATTTCTTTTCTGCATAAAAGCTTTCAATCAAATGCTATAGGGCTGGAAAATGACTCAAAAATACGACATGAGCTAACAGATTTTTGAGCCATTTTCCAGCTCTATAGCACTTGATTGAAAGCTTTTATGCAGAAAAGAAATTTTAAAAAGGGCTGCAACGCAGGAGTACGCGATGATACTCTTTACCCGGTCTTCTATTCGAAGAAATACGGTAGATCACAACCAAATGGCTTTTTTCTTTGGTGGAAAGAAAGTAAAGACCCAAGTCTTAATTAGTGATTAAAGAACATTTCCAAGAAGTTTTAATTTGAAACATGTAAATCGAAACCACTAAAATTTCATTAAAATCTCCTATTTTTCCACTCACTTTCGTTTCCACTGCAATCCCGCATGTGTTTGGCTTAGTTAAGCTTATCGATACTAATTCTAGACTCAGATTTTTGTCTTTTGTATTCAAAAATTATCAATAATGCAAAGTAAAGTTCTTACTTTGGTCAGAAACCTATCTTTTTTTTCCAAATTTTGGCCAAAATCAATCAAAAAGCTTACAAGGGAACTTTCCCAAGTTACCCGCGAGTTACAATATGAGGTAGTGCCAAGAGAAAGGCCAGAAAATGTACGTTCCGAAACTGTTTTCAAAAACCGCTAATCGGCTAAACGCACAAAGTTACAGCCATTTGCATTTCGAAAAAATGAAGGCTTTTCTCGAATTTCTGGCGCACTGATTGTGGCACACCTACCTCATATTGTAACTCGCGGGTAACTTGGGAAGGTTCCCTTGTTAGTCAATGATACAAAAATGAAAACTAGAGAGTTGTTTAGGAGAGTTTTCTAGCATAAATGCATTTTAGAAAATGTAACTAGAATAGAGGAAAAAATCTATGCAGGATTAGAGCTACTTGATTCTACAGTGAGCCAATTTTTACGCCATTTAGAAGCTGGATAGAATTCAGACTTTCATAAACGTTCTAGGGATGAATAAGTTGAAACTAGAGGTTTAAAATTGATCAATTTGTACCGTTAAGCTTTTCTATTGCCTGCCTGGCTTTGTTGTGTCGAAATTCGTTCAATGGCCCTTCGGAGAGTTTCACAAAACGAATTTTTGAGCAAAAGTAACAAATTTTTCTTTTTTTTTCAGAAGAGTGCCTTGACGATTTCGACCCAAGCCTCACGCGGTCTTGCATGTACGAAAAACAGTGGAAAAATCGGTTAGATTTCTTTATGATTAAGGCAAATATGAGTAAAAACAAAAAAATGTTTTTTGGGAAAAAAGGCTTAAAAGATTGTTTTGCGAACTGCTGATTAGAAAATTCGATATTTTTCGGTGATATATGGGCATAAAATTTGCCTTTTGGCGGGTTATCATTTCTTATTGGCATAAAAAGGTTTTGCATAAAGTCCGTTTATGTGAATTTTAATCTAAATTTAAATTTTAGTAAAGTTGCATTTATAATCTTTTTTTAGTTTTGGAGCCTGAAAGAAATCAAAGCTAATCGATGAATGCAAGAATTTCTAAATTACTGGGTTGGTGAATTGAAAACGGCGGGACTTTGAACTAAAATTTATTCAAAATCAAGCCATCAATTCATTCCAAATAATTTCCATTATTATTGACGACTTCTGCCCATTTTGCAGGCAATTTGCGGATTCCTCTTTCGGGGCAGGATTTTGGTTTGTGTGTGAGACAAGTGTGAGACTCAAAAATCGAGGACTGGAGATGTCCCAGTTTGAGCACTTTCTTCAAAAGAAACCCATTTTGGTGTCAATAGAAAAGTTGTAGAGAATCAAAAATTAGGCTTATAGCCAAATTCCCAAAAAGATACACTCAGTAGTTCCGCTTAAAATGCCAGTTTTGTGAAAATTCGTAAATTTGGCATTTCTTGAAAACCAGTTTTTGAATCGTTCTGAAAATTTGGATATAAGCTTGATTTTTGATTCTCTACAACTTTTCCATTGACACCAAAATGGGTTTCTTTTGAAGAAAGTGCTCAAACTATCACATCTGACAATAGCCCGCAGTTTTCAATTCACGAACCCAATAAAAACCTGAAACCCGGTTCCTGATTGGCCCAAGCGTTTTTCAGGCAATTTTCACTAATTTGAAACACGATATTTTGAATCAAGGTAATTAATTCCTTTTTTGTCTTAATAACTAAACAAATTGATTAAAATATAGTAAAAAAGTAAAGTGAAACTGTAAATCTTAAAATATTAAAGTAAAATCGTTGAGAGAAAAGTCCTGTGTTCAGCTTGATGCCTTTTTGCAGTCATTTTTTGATTCTTGTCAAAGAAAAGTCGAAATTTTTGACAATTACAAAAGGAAATGCGTAAAATTGAAGCTATTTTAAGCGTTCTGTGGTTGAAAAAGTTGAAACTAAAGGTGCAAAACAGTTTCAGAAATATTTGAAGCCGGTTTAGCAATCGCTTTAAGCTTTCGAAGCTGGCTAAAGTGAAAATTTCCATAAAATTTTCTCCGCAGTCTAATTTGAACCGAAAAGTCCTGTGATCATACATTAACCGATAAAAACACTCAAGAAAGAATTCAAAAGAGTTAAGATATTTACCAAAATTTAACCACAATGATTCAAATGGGGCTAAGCCGCCGGCTGGCTAAGAGCTCTGTATCTCAGTCGGGAGGTCTAGGATTCAATCCCGCTAGATTAATGACTCTTTTTTCCATATATATATATGAGTTTTACGAAATATTGTAAATGAATTAAAGGTTATGCGCGTAATCTAAGAGTTGATTCCGTGATTGACAAGTGCGCTGAATTCAAAAAAATAGCTTGAAAGCATAGGGATTACTTTTTTTTAAAAGCAAAGATGTTTGTTAAACAAGTAAGCTTTAATTCTTAAGCCTATCTAAACGATCCTAAATGATTAACGATTCTTTTAATACATTGAAACCAGTTTACTTGAAACTCGGAACTTTTCAGCTACTATTTTGATAAAGATGCCCGATCGTGTCGAATGTTTTGGTGGGATGGATGCTTTTCGAGCTCGAGAAATAGCTTTTCTGATGAGGAGACGTGCAAATGGAAATGTCTGGGAGCACATCCAAAACCGGAAGGAAGTAAGCAATCAAATGAATATAGCAATGTAAAGCAATCAAATGAATATCCACTACTGGACAATGAAATATCATATTTCAAAAAAGATCGTCACTTTCGCGCGTCTGTAACTCCCATGTCTTTGAGTTTAAACTATTAGTGTTATATTAGGTTGACAGTAAATCTAGGATAAAAATCAAAGTGCATTTGCACTTTACTCAACTGTGTCCAAGGTTCACGTTCACAGCCATTCTACTGGACAAGAAACAAAACGTCGTCTCCCCGTCAACCCTTGCTACCATTCAAAATTAATATCCATTGTGTAGCCTTGAAAGAGCTCAGAAAATGTATAACACTAATAGTTTAAACTTAAAGACAAGGGAGTTACAGACGCGCGAAAGTGACGATCGTTTTTCAAATATGATATTTCATTGTCCAGTACTGTAGCAATCTAAAGCAATGAAATGAATATAGCAATGTAAAGCAATGTAAAGCAATCAAATACGTATGTCTCACTTCAATTTGTCGGTACGAAAAACTTGTTTACGAAATTGAACATTATGGGAATTTTATTGAAGTTGAAATACTTAAAACGTATTCAGTTTTATTGGTTTGCTGACTTGAATTACTAATAAATACTAATGAATTAACCCATTCATCAAGCCATTCTACAGGAAAAAAAGGGAAAGTGCTACAACATTAAAAAGCAAACAGTAGATTTTTTATTGATTTATTTGAAACATCAAAATTGAAACTGACAATCAAACTTTATATTAAACTTTGAGAAAAATCTTTTGGTTTCAAATTATTCAAATAATAAGAAGATAAAAGAAAATTAAGTCCGAATCTTGACAATTTCTGTAGTTTAGCTTGTTTTGTATTTTTGTCAAAAGCCTCGTTTTTAATTAAAAGAGAGACTTGGAGAGAGAAAAGTGAAACTCAATGTTTCAAGTTTATTCTCATCGGGAAGCAAATGAAACTGTAATTAATGTTTACATCGTGATTGATGAATAACTTCCAAACGGTACACGTAAATCAAGAGAAGCCAACCAGCTTTACAAAGAAATGAATCGTTTTCTCAAACGAATTTCCATTTTAAGGCACCTGTTTGGAGTCGTTCGATACAACCTATTTGGGCGATTGTCGAAATGGGAAATTCGAGAATCGCTTCTACTTTGATCTAAACACAAAACAGGTAAATGGGAATAAGAAATTTGACATTTAGGGAAAAACGGTTAAAGCTAAAACCAAAATTAAACCAAAATTCGTTTGAAAAAGTCGTGTTTCAAGCTTAACAAATTTTAGGTTGACAAAATTCATCTTTTCTAGTTGATAACAAATCGTGTACAGGGTGGGCCAAAATTACCGTTACATATAAAAAAGAGTATAAAAAGAGTCTCTGTATAAAAAGCAACTCGAAAGGTCAAAGATTTTTGCTTAAAAATAACTTTTATTGTCTCATAACAATTCAAAAAAACTATTCTTTTTCAAACAGATCTCCAATAGCTTTTACACAGGCGTCCAAACGTCGGAGAGGCGCGTCGATCGTGGCGAGAAGGTATAGGAGATCCAGCTCCCAAGCCCAGCTCCCAAGCCCAGCTCCCAAGCCCAGCTCCCAAGCCCAGCTCCCAAGCCCAGCTCCCAAGCCCAGCTCCCAAGCCTTTTCGAGCGCTTTTTTCAAACTATCAACAGTTTTGTGTGGTTGATAGCGTCAACTGATAGCATTTGTGCTTTATTTTTCTTGTAGGCCTTTAAGGCCCCTTGTAGGCCGTAGGGTTGTTTTGGATGATTCTTCTAAGGGATGTTCTCTCTGTATCCCCATTTTTTTGTGACATTTTCCGCACCGATTAGTTTGGCGTTTTCAACAGGCGACTCCTCACTTTTTTTGAACATTTGCTGAAGTTGTTACCGTTCGATTTCTTCCATTTCGCTTTCACATTTGCGCGTGGGTGAGCATTGTAACGGTAATTTTGGCCCACCCTGTAAATGATTAAAATGTTGAAAATTTTGGGTTTTTATAGATCTTAGTTTGAAAAGCACTTCAATTCTGTATTTATTAGGAAAGCAAGATAAAAAAGAAAATTTTCATAATCAAATTACTCACAATAAATACAATAAAGTACAATGAGTTGCTTTTGAAACGTTTTTCAGCATTAAAACTCATTTGGAATCATTATGTTTCAAGTTAAAGAATGAAAGATTTGAGAGAATAACTGTAATCAACCCTACTGCCCATGTTTTCGATCTTGCCCATCTTGTCAATACGATGAAATTCAAATGTTTCAAATGATTTTTCGCAATCTTTAACGATTTTTCCTCAATTTTCTCCCATTTTCAGTGTATTTCTTTTCATTGGGGCGGATGTCGGAGTGACTCGAGGAATTTCTTTGCCGATTTTTCTGAATGCCAACGAGTTTGCGAGAATCCACCGCGCGAGTTAGTTCGTGAGTTTTTTTGAATGGAAATTTCAACAAAATTCAACTAAATAAGCAACAAAAATCAACAATCGATAATCTTGAAAGCAATTCTCAACGATTGAATTGTTTTTTGTTTTAAATGATGCGTGTCGATTGGGTTGAAATTTTAGTTTCAACCCAATTTTCTTTTGCCTTCTTTTTTGTGTTTTCAAAATTGTTTCATTCAAATTTTTATATTTTTATATTTTATATATTTTTTTATATATCTTAACACTAACGGTAAGCTTAACTAAGCCAAACACATGCGGGATTGCAGTGGAAACGAAAGTGAGTGGAAAAATAGGAGATTTTAATGAAATTTTAGTGGTTTCGATTTACATGTTTCAAATTAAAGCTTCCTGGAAATGTTCTTTAATCACTAATCAAGTCTTTACTGGGTCTTTACTTTATTTCCACCAAAGAAAAAAGCCATTTGATTGTGATCTAAACCTCTAGTTTCAACTTATTCATCCCTAGGACGTTCATGAAAGTCTTAATTCTATCCAGCTTCTAAATTGCTTAAAAATTGGCTCACTGTAGAATCAAGTAGCTCTAATCTTGCATAGATTTTTTTCCTCTATTCTAATTACATTTTCTAAAATGCATTTATGCTAGAAAACTTTCCCAAACAACGCTCTAGTTTTCATTTTTGTATCATTCACTAAGCTTTTTGATTGATTTTGGCCAAAATTTGGAAAAAAAAGACAGGTTTCTGACCAAAGTAACAACTTTACTTTGCATTATTAATAATTTTTGAATATAAAAGACAAAAATCTGAGTCTAGAATTAGTATCGATAAGCTTAACTAAGCCAAACACATGCGGGATTGCAGTGGAAACGAAAGTGAGTGGAAAAATAGGAGATTTTAATGAAATTTTAGTGGTTTCGATTTACATGTTTCAAATTAAAGGTTCTTGGAAATGTTCTCTAATCACTAATCAATTTTATATAATATTTTTAGATAACGAAAACAAGATATTAAACTCTTTTCAAAAGCAATAAAGCCGTGTAACTTGAAACTTGTATTTTCTAATAGCTTATAATTAGATTTATAAATTCTTACAAATTCTGATATCGTTTTATGCTTAGAGTGGATTTCTTATTTTAATGACTATTTTTAAATATTTTATATATTTAAATAAGTTCTAGTCATTCACAAAAGCAAAAAATGACTTGAAACTTGCTTTTTTTTCAACAATCGAATCAGAAATTCAAGAAATCAGGTCAGACTTTGTATTCGAAGACAACTTAGACGCAAAGTGATTAAAAATACTTTGAAACACTAAACTTTAGTTAGTTTGAAACTTGTACTTTTCAATTGGAAAATTCTAAAATTTCAATTTTATTGATAAAAGCGAATCTTATAAGTTTAATCTTTTGAAATTCACAAAAAGATTTTAGAATCGTGTCTTGAACCATTCGATAACGGCTATGAGAAATCTTGCCTATCGGATGGACGCTATCATCAATATTATTTCTACGATATAAACACACATTCGTGCAAAATGTTCTGGTGAGTGGAAATGGCTGAAAAATGATCCGGAGAATGCAGAAATTGACATTATTGAGCAACGGATTAAGGTGGATTCATTTTGAAATGGTTTCAACTAAAAAAAGAAATGTTTTAGTCTTTCTCTGTCGATTGGTACAAAAACTATTTCAATTGAACAGCTCAACACCAAGAAATTTGAGCTCAAAGCTAGATTGCCAATGGGAAAAGAGGCGGGCGGCGTATAAAAGGTTCCTCACCCCGCCCGTTTGCCATTGGCAACCTAACTTTGCGCTAAAATATCTTCGCGTTGGGTTGTTCAATTTAAATAATTTTTGCACCAATCGATAGAGAAAAACTTGGCGCATCTAACGCTATCAAGAATATTTAAATTGAAGAGCTTGCACCAAAATATTAGAGCTCAAAGCTAGATTGTCAATGGCAAAGGGGCGGGGCGCTTATCAAATGTCCCACAATCAAAAAAGTCGGTTAAATTAATTGATCGACATCTTGCTCACCTAAGCAAACTTGAAACTCGACTCCAAAAATCATAATTACATAAATTCCATCATATGTATCGAAAATATTGGGTGCTATCCAATAGGTAAGATTCGTGTGACTCAATTTCTCTGCTACTCGACGTGCACCAAGCGGTTCAGCATTGTTTTGTACTGTTTAACTAAAGAATGCGATACAAGCGCCCCGGTATTGGTTGTTTAAAGTGTTCCTAGATATGTGCTCAATTTGAAACTTGACTCTCAAAAAGATGTTTAATCAAATGATAATTAATTCCTTTGCTTCTTAAAAACTAAGATAATAATAAATTAATAAAATTTAATAAAAAAAAATGCAAAAAACATTTTGACAATTTGTGAAAACAATTTGATTTGACATTTTTCAAAGTATAAGGAAAATGAGTCAAGTTTCAAGTTTAACCGCCTCATTTGTTTAATCGAGATTTCAATCTTCCTTTCTTTCCTTGCCTTTAAAAAAGTTAAAACTTAGTTAAAACTTTTTAAATTGAAAAAACAAGAAAAAAAAAACGAAAAACTAAATCCAGGAATCCATTAGGTAGATTTTGGAAGCATTCCTGCTTATCCAATCTTTTCCTAGGTTCGGAAACTGTCGACGAACGAATCAGAACATTTTCCCATCACTTTCGACATGTCAATGGGTTTGTGAAAGAGATGCGCACGAGAAGAAACAAGGTGAAAATTGAGATCGATAGAGGAAAAGTGCGTGAAACAGTATTCGAGTAAACTATTGAAGTAAGAGTTTAATCAACAATTCAAAGTCATCTTTCTTATTTCATGTTCAAAGCTGGGTAAACGAATTACACAGAGTATCGTTTTATTAGTAAAACCGACTAGCAATAAGATCAGTAAGAAAAATCAAAAAAAGGAAATTGTAATTGAAAGTAAATGGTTTTAAAATGTTGAATGAATCATTACAATCATTGACTCAAAAATCTCGCTGAAAAACCATGTTTCAATTTATTCAGCTTAAAAGCTAAGTAAACGATTTCAGTTTGATACGACTTCAAGAGATAAAAATCAAATAAACAAACGATTAAGGGTAGTAGAAAAAGGATAATTAGCAATAGAAATTCAAAAAGTATTACTAGTAATCAGTGCTTAGAACCAAATGATTGAAAAGTGGCAAAAAAAAGAGCCGAAAAATCGGCTTTTTTTGCCGCTTTTCAATCACCTTTTTCTAAGCGCTGGTTAACGCTAAAAAGCTGTATTATATGTCAAAAAATCAAGCATTCCCTCTACTTTAATCTGATATTTAAACGTGTAGAAACAAACGTACTGATGTCAAGATCTGAGCGTTTATTTGAGGGTAAACTTCGACTACGCGACGTCCAATAAGTGAATCTCTGTTAGCGTTTTTAGGGTATTTATTTAGTAAGATAAATACAAAAAAAGCATTTTTCAATTCACTCACCCATTCAGTTTCAATAAAATCCAATTTCTAGATGCCTGTTTGGATGAATTCGATCCGAAATACGAGGATTCCTGTGGACAAGGGATTTGGATGGAAAAGTGGAGATTCGATGTAAGGGTTTAACTATATAAATTAAAATCTTGTACTGTTTACATTTACTATTTTTTCATCTAAAACAAAAAACATATTCATCTATAAGAAATTTCAGCACTCAACCGGTCGTTGCAAATCATTTTGGTTCGATCAGTGTGTGTCGAAGAGTCAGAACATTTTCCCAGATGAGGCCTCGTGCAAAAGTCAATGCGAAAAACCAGGTGAGTGCTCAAAATTTCAAATTAAAGTTGTTAAAGTTTGGTGGAATCTAGATTTCTTACATAAAATATCAATTAATTTTCCCATCAAAAATTTAATGTTTCAAGTTATTTAATATAAAATGGCTTGCTTGTTTGGTAGTATTCTCTGTTTCTGTTAAAAGTGATTAGTTTTTCTTGCCAACCAAATAGATATCAGCTTTGTTTAACAAGTAAAAACTATTTAGGTTTAAATCAACTGAGTCGTTTCAACGACACCGAGTCAAATTTCCGGTGTTTGGAGCCGAAAACGATCGGGGAATGCAAAGAAACGTGAGTTGATCAGGGGGAAAATGAAGTTTCTGGGTAAAATTTCTGAAAAACTCATTCACATTTGCTATTGAAGAAGTTTTGATTTTGCAAAAATTTGTTTCAATTTCGGGTTTCCTTAAAGATAGTTCAGTTTAATAATATCCACAGTAGAATAATCAGTTTCTTTTTCATCAATCAACTCGAAAACTCGAAAATGTTTCCCCTTTCAGTTACCCAGCGTATCACTATGATCGACAACTCCGCGAATGTCGTCCATTTTCGTATTCGGGATGTGGCGGGAATGGGAATCGCTTCTTGACAATCAATCAATGTGAAATGATGTGCTTTGATTTCAATTCATTAACAGGTTCGATTTTGAGAAAAATTATAGTCAATTTGGCAATCTGACAGTTAAATTGAGATACCGATTGAAAGATCACGCATAATATTTGACTAGTTTGAAACATCACCTTTAATCTTTGTGTTGACCGCATTTTCTCTAATAGTAGTGCACCCAGAGCGTCGCCTAAATTCCTCGAAATCTTGAGAAGCGCTTATCAGAACCTATCGATATGGGATCGGAAAATGTAGCTGACGATGAGATCTAGTGAGGGATTTGAGTGTTGAGCTTCTGCAAAAGCTTGGAAACTGTAAAATCGTCACCAACTTGGCTCGCCGGGGTGCACTAGTATTAGAGAAAATACGGTACATATTTTCCTACGATTTCTTTATTCTAGTATTATGTAAAGATGATAAATTTCTTTAAATTAATTATTTATACGCTTTTCAGATCCTGAAATGGATTGCTTTGAGCCCTTGGATATCGGTTATGGGCGAAATGAGATGGAATGCATTGAAAATTCCGGTTTTCGCTTTTATTTTGATCGGGATTTCGGTGAGTTTTCGATAGGTTCATTGAAAAAATCTCAGACTTATGAAAACTTGTCTTTTTCCGTTTCTTGCGCAACAAAAAAAAACACATTTGTTCATTGTTTCAAAAAGAGAAGTTTCATTTTGAACAACGTTAAATCAAGCTAGTGATGCTTAACCAAATGAAGCTCAGAGGTAGCCTAACTTTGATAGCTTTTCAAGATTTGATAATTTTCTGATAGAATTTGAGAAAAAGATGTCTACCTTTTGTCAAACTTTTAAATTTTAACTTATTAAGGTTTTTCTTTGATCTTTGGCTTAAGAAACATCAAAGAGAACCCTTCGTGAAGTAAAAAGATTTAAACTGACGACAATTAGACAATTTCTCAAGATAAAATCTCTCCATTCAGGTTCATGCTCGAAATTTTGGTATCTGGGATGTGGCGGGAATGCGAATAATTTCTATTCTTTTGATGTCTGCCATCGAACTTGTCGAAATTCACGGCGGCTACCGAAGAGAGAAATCGATGATATCAGTGGTCGGTTGTAAGGGGGAAATGAAAGGACTTGAAAGTGTTTGAGAATTTTTGAGTTCAATTTTTTTGATTTCATCGTTTTTAGTTTAGAATAAACGTTTTGCCAATTCATTAGATCAAAAACGCAAAATAATTTGTTTTCAAGAAATCAGTGTTTCAAATATTCAACATAGCGATCAAAAATTCCGGATTTAATCGTACTGTTTTTGGAAAATTTTTAAATTTTTAAATATAAACACTAAAATTTGATAGCTAGATGTTGATTTCAAGTTTTTTCAAGTTGTTTCAAATTTTTGCTTTTAAGTTTCATGTTTAGGCGATATAAAACGAGATAGTTTGGTGGAAAAGTGTGTAAACTGCAGGGTTTCTAACAATTTTCATGGCTAATTGAGAAATTAATAGGTCTGAAGCTGAATAACAAAATTTCCTATCAAATAATAGATACTTTATTTCAGTAATAAAGCATACATTACTTTAAATAGCATACATTACAGCTGAATACTTAAAAATTTGATATCAAAAAGATTACAATTGATTAGTTTTAGTTTAAGTGCGGTTTGTGAATCGGAAATCAGTTTCGTGCACTGTGAATTCGTTGGGAAAAAACTAATTGTATTTTTTTGCATTCAAAAATGTTAGTGAATATGTTAAAGATTTGAATAAAAAAGTTTTCTTTCAATACATTAGTGTTTAAAGGTTCATTAAGCTAATATTTTGAAATTAAATAGCGAAATACTTTCGTTATTTCAAGTTTATGCCTATTTGAGTTTTAAAGACGGATTCAATTGGCGCCTCGAAAGCTGTAAATTTAAAAGCAATCTTTGACATTGGGCGACAAGAATTGGGGAATTAATATCGTAGATTTTGATGTCAATGAAGACTAACTTAGCTCAAAATGAAGTAATCAAGTGATTTTAAAGTTGTAGTTTCAAGTTGAGCATATTTAAGCTTATGACCAAGGTTTAACACATTCACAATAAAGCCATTTTTGTTTTGGCTCCCTTTTCAGACGACAGATATTAGCTGTAGATCTGAAAATTTGTAACCAGAGACATTCTGGGATAGAGAATCTGAATCCGTGATTAGCTTTTGAGCAACTTTGATTTTCAAGCCAATACGGTCATCATAAAACTCTCTAAAATTTCCTCGAAAGCCAATACGGTTTACTCTCTAAAACTTGGGTAATTAAACCGGATGAAATATCCAAAAATAGAGCAGCTTTCTTTAAGAACCAAGTACGGATTCGAATTCCTTGACACCGGAAACACACTGGTGCAAATTTTCAGCCCAATCGGTCTCAAAAAAAGTGCTAAATCCACCTACGGCTCACCGGTGTGCCTTATCATCACAAATGTGTTAAAGGAGAGTTGATCAGCCCGGTTAACTCAGTCGGTAGAGCATCAGACTCTTAATCTGGCGGTCACGGGTTCGAGCCCCGCATGCTTAATTTTGGCGTGTTGATCACATGGCGAGTGCATCAAAGCTATGATTTAAAAGCTAGAGTTTCAGGTTGTCGGCATATTCAATGACAATTTAAAACTCAATTTACGCAACAATACAAAAAAAGTAGCTAAAATTTGAAAGTTTTATGAACACTTAGATTTGATAATCAAACGAGTTGCTGTTTCAAGTTAACCGGCTTTTATATTTTGAGACTTGTTAAATTTATAGAAAGCTGTAAGTCAAAAACTATAAATTTAAAGCAAAATTGGCAAGAATCTGGTAATAAATATGACAAAATTTAAATTAAAGATCAAAAGCTTTCAATCTGGTGCTGAGGATTTCAAAATTTGGTAGCTAGTTTCAAGTTGATCGAGTTCAAAGGGTAGGAAAGCTGATCAATAGAACTACTGCCTGTATCACAAAAAACTAAAAAACACTTTCAAACACTAACATAATAGCTGCCATAGCGTGATCAAAAGTAGCGAACAACAGCGTTTATAATTTTTTAACCAAGCTGTGACTGAGGTATTGGTTCAATGCCGATACTTTCAAAATTTTGAAACTTTGAATTTGAATTCAACTTTATTTGAAAGCTTTTATCTGAAAAATATGAAGTTTTAAACGATAAATATCTGCGTTGATTGAAAAATAGAAGCGTTTAGAGTTGATTCTTTAACTCGAAAACAAATCAGCATTCATTCAATCATTCATTGATCTGATTTTCAGTTTGTTTCGACGTTCCATCGGATAAAGGCCGTTGTCACAACAATGACACGAAACCCGTTCAACGTTGGACGTACACGAATGGGAAATGCGCGAATTTCACGTACAGCGGCTGTGATGGAAGCTCGAATCGGTTGGTGGCAAAAATTGTCCTCAGACATTCAAATTCAAAGTTTCAAAATTTTCAAAATATCGGCACTAGACCAATACCAATAGTCAATGGTTCTGTCGCTCAATCGGTCAAAAAATTATAAACGCTTTTGTTTGCTAGTTTTGACCACGCTATGGCAGCTATTATGTTCGTGTTTGAAAGCGTTTTTTAGTTTTTTTATCTAAAGCAGTTTTTAAATGCAAAAAATAGCAACATTTCAATCAATCAAAGTACAGAAAAGTACAGAGTACCTTTTTAGGACTGTCAAAAAATTCTAGACGCACTTTTATCAAGAAATTATATCAAGAAAAAGTTAAATCAAAATTTTGACTTGAAATTTGACATGGAATGTTAAGATTTCAGTTAAAGAAACCAAAAAAAAAGCACTTTTCACTGGGTTAGCCCTTATGGCGCGCTTAAAACTAGCAAAAAAAACAAACAAACAGTAATTTTCTATAATCTATAATTTCTATAGATTATAATTCTTCTATTGTGTATAAATTGTTCATTTTTCTTTGCTTTTCCTTTTGCAATTTAAAATAATTTCAACTGTTTTGAAGAAAACTAAAAAAGAACATTAAAATTTTGGTTGAACTAGTCAGCCGGTTAAATTTGAAACTTGACTCATTTTCCCCATACTTTGCGAACTTTTCCAAGTCAAATCGCTTCTACAAATTGTTAAAATATTTGGTGAATTTGGATAAATTGGATAAATTAATGTTTTTGTTAAAATCGTATTAATTTCTGTATCTATGAATGTGAGAAGTGTAAAAGTGGAAAAAAAAATCATGTTTCAAATAATTTGCCCTCAAGACAAAGCTGCCTATTCTAGTGATCCTGTTCTAGTGATCCTATTCTAGTAATCCACAAGAATTCTTTCAGTTTCTCCTCTCTGCACGAATGCGAGTCAATCTGTAAAGGGCTGAAGAAAAGCATTCAGATCAACAAATGTTCCCACCAACCGGATTGGGGAACGTGCAATCACATGCGATATATGTGGTATTATGAGAGCAAAGTTGGTGGGTCAATTCGTTTGAAAACCGATGAAAAAAGAAAGCCATTCAGCAAGCCGATAAAGTTGTAACTTTAAATGTTTCCTTTAAGAAAAACTAAGACTTTATATTAAATAGCGTTGAAACTCTAAATGGCCTTGTTTTATTAAAAATGGGAAAAATATAATAACAGTATTTCGAAGATTGAGTTGCAATGTATACAGGTTTAAAGCAAGGATATATCTGCTTTGTTCAGTTGAATAGCGACAAAAAAGCTCACAATAATCACCCAGGACACCACTCAAAACCCACCGAAAAGATAAAAAGATACTTCAAGAAAGAATCACAGAGCAGTCAAATCAACTGCCGAAATCAAAAGCTTTAAATCTAGCCATTTAAATCTTAAATCTAATCTAGGGAATATGGCGAACATGAGGGAGTAAAAGATTCCACAATTTAATAACTCGATTAAAAAAGAAACTGTGGAAGCTTTTAGAGAAAACGAAAGGTTGGCGTATGAGAAAAGGTTCCCTTCTAGAGCCGTGGAGAGTAGATCTTAGAGAGATCTTAGAGAGCCCGTAGAGAGCCGAATTCAAAGAGACCAGAAAAAAGGGGATGAATCCCCTTAACAATTTAAAAGCATTCCACTAAATTCAGTTTCTGTTTCGGTTCGAAAAGTTAATTCAGGTTCAGGATGTTCTTTATCTTTATGACTTCTTTTAATTTAGCAATGTTTATCGTTAAATGGAAAAAAAGATAGCAACTTGATCCAAATTTTGATTAAATCAGATCACCTCCAAATCAAATACAAATTCCAGGCACATGCGCTCAATTCCTTTACGGTGGTTGCGGAGGGAATACGAATCGTTTCGAGACTTTTGAGGAATGTCAAAAAGATTGCGAACCGAGTGGATTCGGTAGGGTTTTTTTGGGGAAAAAAGAACAACAAAGAAAGTTGAAGTTTCAAAAAAGATAAAGTACTGTCACAATTCAAGTTTTAATCTGCCTGCCACATTGCCCTAATTTTCTACAAATTTAACGCTGATATCGACTTGTTTACACTAGTAAACCTCGCAAGAAAAGCTATGTTTCATCGGCGATAAGATTCAATCATGTTGTAAGAATTTTAATGAACTATGAAAACTTGCAAAATTTGAAAAGGAACAAATTTTATGTTTGAAACGATAGATAGACCAGTTTTTTTCGCTGTTAACCTGAAAAAAAATTCCATTTTTATCGTAGACAAGACTCAGTTTGAACACATTATGGTATTTTGGGCGTACAGTTGCGTAGTCGTCAACTGTTTTACTGATAATTTGGTGAATACCGTATTTACTCTATTGGTACGGCGCAGTACTATTTTTTTTCGTGACGGCTGAGACCGCAGTACCATTTTTTTTCGACCAAACGAAGCAAATAGGTACTTAATAACTAAATCAATCAAAAATTTATGTACAAACTTCAAACTCAAAGGAATGATATCTTTCAAAAATGCGGGAAAATAAGCGTATTGAAGATTTTATTAAGATAAGATAAAAGTCATAATAGATCAAAGATTGAAACATCCGAATCATCAAAAACAATGTTTCTAACACGATCATTTACTTCCTTGATGGCTTGTTCATGTCGAGCTTCGACCAATTATTTTGTTCTTTCTGGAATTGGACCATCTTTCTTGAAACAGCGAATGAGAACATCTTCCGATCCATCCAAAGCCATCGTAATTGCACAATTGTTGAAAGAATGAATGATCATGTTGTTTGGCAACTCATTCCAAGCCGTCCAAACTCAATCAAGATATGTTTCCACTGGTGGAGGAGCCGGGTTTCCATTTCGAGTCACTGGTTTTGGTCCATTCGCCATCCAATGCTCGTACAATAATCGAAGTTTGGCCTTAAACGATACATTCGAAACAACATCGGGAGCTTGAATAAATTTAGTGCATCCGCCGTACACAAGAATTAAACCGATCTGAAGCTCTTTGCGTTTTTCCTTTGTTGTCTCACTTTTCTGAGCCGAGAATGTATCCCACACCAGCAGCCGCTTTCCGGAAAGCGGAACTCCGAGAACCTTCTGAAGATAGACACCAATGGAGGCATCGTTCATCCAGGTCGATCCTTCCCAATGCAACTCGAGTTTGTTGTGGAGCTTGATGACAACTTTTGGATCAGGACGAGGAGGCAAAACAAAAGGCTTGCATTTGAAACCATCATCACGAGCGGTCAGCATCACCGAGATTCTCATTTTGTTGTGGCCTGTTGAAAGAACAGAAACAGAAACCAGAACAGAAACTTAATTAGCAAAGAAGTGGACTACTAAATAGCCAAAAATGAAAATTAATTTTGGATCAGTGAAAATTTGCGTGCATTAGTAGGTGCAGTACTATTTTTTTCGATCTGTCCCCAGCCGGCAGTACTATTAGAGGCACAGTACTAATAGAGTATTCAAATATAAACTAAATTATTATAGTCATTTGATTGCCTTTGAAACAGATAAAGTTATCAGAAATTCCAAAAAAAAAAAAAAGCAAAAAGGCGTTGACAAAGTTTGTCTTCTTCCCTTTTTTCATATTACAAAGTTGAAAGAAAACAACAAAAAAAATAAACTTTTAAAAAAAAAAAAAAACTCATAAATTTCAGTTTTCCCTAATAGTTTACCAATTCCAAAATTTGATCTTGAAAGTCGTCCCTTGAAAAAAGCAAGTTTCAAGGGGTTTCCTGGTTCGTTCCCTTGCTGTTTATTTTGCAAACTTATCACAATTTTAAAAAATAGATCGGATCGCTCTAAAAGGAAAAACCGTTTCCAGACCCATGTCTCGAGCATTTGGATCGTGGTCGTTGGTGTGAGGATATGTCGAATCGATACTATTACAATAAAAAAATGAAGGTTCGTTTGGGTGGCAAAATGAAAACTGAAATCACCACGTGATCTAAGGAATAAAATAAAGAAATGAATGGCAAAGAGGTTCGAATCGAGGGGGAATCGAATCGAATCGAATCCCCAGCCCTCTGCTTACCACTGAGCTCTAACATTGAGCTATTGGCGCCTTCTTTATCCAAGAAGAAATAGGAAAAACAAGGAAAAAGAAAGTTAGGAAGAAAGTTAGGAAGAAAGACAAAGAAAGCTAAACCTAATCATCAGTTTTCCACGTTCAACAGATTGTAATTAACCGATTAACTTTAAACGAAAGTTTTTGAGTCATATTTAAGCCAGAAGTCAAGCATTCTCTTGAGAAGAAATTTCAAAACAAAACTTACAACTTATCTATTTTTTTTTTATTTGAATTATAATACAGAAAAAGCTAGTCTTTATTTGAATTTGATTCATCACACGGTTCATTAATCTATTTGTAAATCTTTCTTGTAACAAATTAACATGAAACCAAATTTTCCGAAACCCTGTTTTAAGTCAAAAAGCATTCATTTCATTAACAAAATGACCTAGATTTTTGCAAAAGCTTTACCTCCAGTCTAACAGGCAATTTCAGGAATGCAAGGGTTTTCACTACACGGGTTGTGGAAACTCGAACAATAATTTTCACACATTGGAGGAGTGCGAGGCGAGGTAGGGGAGAAATAACTCGTGACATTACCATAGGATTCGTCCTGTTTAAAACTAAGTTAAATGATAATCATAACCGCATATAGAATATTGCTACAATACTTTTCACAAAAAAGAATGAAACGAGGTAGGGGAGTTTTAAACAGAATTAGATACAGTAGCGGACATAATTTTGGAAACTTTGTTTTTTCTAAAAAAATTTTCTTAGTAAAATCTGATTCGGTATGTTTACTAGCGAAAATATGTAGACCTAAAAAGCACGTAATAATCCATAGACAGAACTGCTGAACTTTTTGAAAATTATTAATTTTAATGCATTTATCTATAAACCTAGAGGACATAAATTTGGAAACTTTCATAAAAACCTCAAGTATATTACTTTTTTTGTTCTATTTTCATCTTTTTAAACCTCTACTAATTATTTTAACGTTTTTTATAGATGGGCAGCAAGAAAGAGACTTCAACAGAGAAACGCGAAGATGTTGTATGGATGCACCAAAAAGGCAAATGCAGACATTTATCGTTCGATCTCTTGGTCTTTCAAAAAGTACTGTATCAAAAATTTTAAAAGATACGCTCGAACTGGAACAGCAAATGCTCATAAGCATACGGGAAAACACAGAAAGACGACAAAACAAGATAGTTTGCAGATGAAAACTCTTTCAAAGGCTGATCCAAAGAAGTCATCGGTCGAGATTTACGCGGATTTGCCTGACAAAGTCAAAAGGAAATAAGTTCAAAGACAGTACAAAGTCGTTTACGCAGATTTGGATTGTTTGGTCGACGTCCTGCTCATAAGCCACTGATCTCTGCAAAGATTCGCAAGCTTCGGAGCAAATTCACAGAAGAGCATCGATATTGGACGGCTCAACAATGGTCTATTTGCCTCTTTTCGGACGAAAGTAAGTTCGCATTGTTTGAATCTGATGGCTTTCGATATGTTCGTCGTCATACCAACAAAAGGTTCAGTAAAGGATACGTAATTCCGACTTTGAAGCATGACGGTGGTAGTGATCTTGTATGGAGTGGCTTTTCAGCTTACGGAATGATCCCATTAAAATGCACTGATGGAATTATAGACAAACGTGCTTGCTTGGACATTTTATCGAAAAATAAGCTTCCCTCCAGTTGAATGCCTTTCAGTTGATGCCTTCCAACTTTCTTTTTCGACAGGGCAAACATACTTCGAGGGGCTTGTAAAGGACTGGTTTCAGAAGGAAGGAATTATTTTATGGAATGGCCGAGCCAGAGTTCTGATTTAAACCATATTGAACATCTATAGGAAGTTCTGGAGAGAGTCTGTCAGGCGTTCAGAGCCATAATCTTAAGGAAAAATTCGAGCCTTTGGCTAAGAAATGGCTGGAAATTCAAACAACAACCATCGACAACTTGGTCGCTTCGATGAGCGCTCGGTGCCAGACTATTATTGATCCTAAAGGATCTTCCACAAAGTATTGAATTGATTTATTTGTTTTTGTTTTAATTTAGAAGTTTAATGGTTTGTTACGTTATTATTTAGAGTTGTTTTTAAAAGTTTCCAAATTTATGTCCTCTGGGTTTATAGATAAATGCATTAAAAATAATAGTTTTCAAAGAGTTCAGCAGTTCTGTCTATGGATTATTACGTGCTTTTTAGGTCTACATATTTTCGCTAGTAAACATACCGAATCAGATTTTACTAAGAAAATTTTTTTAGAAAAAACAAAAGTTTCCAAAATTATGTCCGCTACTGTATATATACTTTATTCAGGGGGCGAATAGAAGCGAATCAGATAATCATAACCGCAATAATAATAATAACATATTGCCACAATACTTTCGCAAAAAGAAAGAAAACTAAAAATAGTCTACAGTAAGACTAGAGTTAGGAAACACAGGTACAAAAAGATAAAATAAAGGGCAGATTTGACATGGCAATTATGGAACATGGCGACACACTTCACACTTACAAACTCAAGATATAGGGTGTTCCAAAAGAAAAAAAAACAGTTCAGTCAGTTTCTCCGAATTTCTAATGGCTTCTGGGGGTTGTTGTGGTGCAAAAGTCGAGATTTTGGGCGGCCAACTTTTTGATATTCTGACACTTTTTCCCGATTTCATGACCTACATGAAATGACGCCCTATACACGAAAATTTGTAAAACTGTAAAATAGCAAAAAGAATTTACTGCCACTGACTATTTGACCATTTTTTGTACTTAATGAAGTGGTTCTCTCGGCAAGTTATTAGTCTAAAAATGTGAAATATTGCGGATGAGTTAAATATTTTGAAACTCTCATTTTCATAGATGTGTTCGTCGAGCGAGAAAAGGAAAAGCACTTCCAATTGGCGAAGAAATTCGCGAAAATCGTTTGGAAGATGAGAATTTAATGAATTCTGAGGAAGAAAACGGGATTTTCGACAAATTAGCGACTGTTGATGTGAAGGAGAACGCGTTGAAGCTGAATTTGTCCTGGGGTTGGTTGCAAATCGTTTTCAACAGTTTCAATGCCAAATTCTAAGTCAACTTGTCTGCGTGAAGCTTTGGGAATGAGAAAAATCAATTTCTATTAGATAAAGATGTCCTTAGCTTTGTCTACAGTTAATAATAAGAAATTTTCTACTAGAAGCAGAATCAAAACAAGTCAATCAATTTAAAATTAGAGCAAATTTTTCTTTCTTTAACCTTTACATTGAAATTTTTGAATAAAAATAAAACGTAATTCTGCTAGAAAAATGAACTTCTTTTAAACTTACATAATTAATTACAGTAAATACTGTAATAGTACCCCACCCCCTCGTACAGTCGCGTAGTCGCAAAAGTTTTTTAGTATTTCATTTTTTACTTTTTTCAAAGCGCCCATACTTTCAAAAAATTCGTCTTTGATATCAAAAAATAGCGGAAATTCAGGGCTATTTTTTGATACCTAAGCGCGCATTGTAGCGTAAACCAGTGTCGAGAAAACCTCGTTCAAAGCTAGACTACGCAACACTCCGCACCGTCATTGTGGGGTCACCCCCATAATGACGGTGCGGAGTGTTGCGTAGTCTAGCTTTGAACGAGGTTTTCTCGTTACTATTACAGCACTATTACACTATTTACGGTAAGTCTAATTTTTTTTATATGAATATGAGCATAAAATGAGTAAAGTTTGAAATTTGCTTTTTCTTCTTTGAAATCTACTTATTTTGTAACTTTATTTTCTGCTTAATATCTTTGTTTTTTTAAATGCCCAAGTAGCTTTTTAATTAATCTAAATGAAAAGCAAAAAAGAACGGAAAGAAAGATAACATTTCCAATAGCTTTCAAAAATATTAGGGTGAACCAAAAGTTTTCTATTTTTTTTAATCAAAACTTTCAACATAAATAAAACAACAATGAACGAACTCTAAGCTTCGAAATAAAGACCATTCGAATCTATGACTTGAAGCCATCTATCGGCAAGTTGGTCGATCCCGCGGCGGTACCACTCCTTGTTCTTAGAGGCGAAAAACTCGCGGCACCCTTTTTCGACTTCGCCCAGATTGTTGAAGGCTCGTCCGCGAAGCAAGTGCGCCATGGAGCTGAAAAGATGTTAATCGGATAGTGCAAGATCCGGACTGTACGCTGGATGTGGAAGAAGTTCAATTGAGTCGAGATTTTTGATCTTTTCCTTGGTTTATCTAGTGATGTGTGGTTTTGCATTGTCCTGCTGAAGGACTATGCCCTTTCGATTGACCAAAGGGGGATATTTTTCACTAAGCGGCGCATACATCTGGTCAAGTTGGGCGCAGTAGAGATTTGCGTCGATGTTCCGACCATTTGGAACTAGCTCAAAGTGAATAATGCCTTCGAAATTCCACCAAACACACAGTAATGCCTTCCTTGAGAATCGATCAAGTTTTGCTACCGGTTCCGCTACTTGCCCGGGATTTAACCACTCACTTTGCTTCTCCGGATTACTAAAATAAACCCACTCTTCATCACAAGTCACAATTCGGAGAATAAAGCGGTCATCGTGCAGATTTTCCAGCAGTTTTCGGCAAGTGCCTACACGATTTTGAGCTTAATTTTCCGTTAAATCATGTCGGCAACTTCTCGGCAGCTTTTGTTGACCTTTCCAAGGGCATGAAGGTGCCGGATAACTGATGTTTGAGGAATATCCAATTCAGCGGAGAGCCTAATGGATTGGCTTCAATAGCGTTGCGTAGAGCTTCAGAGTCCACAGTAGTTGACCGACCCAAACGTGGCTGATCTTCGAGACCAAGTTCGCCGTTCTTAAATTTTCGTTTCCAATATGTTGGAGATCGTTCCACTTGGCATATTTTTTTGGCCGCTTCAGTTGCATTGAACCCTTGTTTCCAATAATGGCGCAAAAGTGCCCGGATTTCGAATTTTTTCATCTCTTTCCTAGAAAGTAAAAAATAAAAAATAAATAGTTAAACACACGATAGCTTAGTAAAATATGAAAGAGCAGTTCAAATGCTACAAAATAAATATGGCACATATATATAAAACGAATTTACTAGTTTTAAAAAATTGTTCAAACTTAAAGAGAAAAAAAAATAGAAAACTTTTGGTTCACCCTAATACATTCATATACTAATGTTGGCAGAAAAGCTAGAAAGCTGATCACTTTGAAACTTTGTTTTCCCTATCTAAATTAAATCAGTATTTTTTTTGTGTTGATATGTTGTAAAATTTGGATATTCTAGATACAAATTGATAAACATGTTTTTCAGCCCCTGAAAGCACTCAAAAGACCACTCGGAAAACCGTGACTCCAACGCCGAAGCCCGTTCGGTCATCGACAAGAAAGTCGACAACGAAAAGCCTTGACAAATGTGGGTTAAATGAAAAATGACTTACCTGTAAGGATTTGGATTTTAGAGTTTGGAAATACTCGAATTTAGATTTTCGAGTCCCAAATCCCCATCTCCAGCTCCATTTCCATCTTTCCTGCATTACAAATCCATTACAAACTTGTCCCCTTTCTTGTCTTGTCTTATCCGTAATCTTGTCTCGATCTTTTTTTTTCCAATCTCTTGCAAAATCAGACCAAAAAAAGGCAATTAGATGTAAACTATAGCAAATATAACGGAAGCTAAGTTTCAGGAATTTCAAGAATTTCAAGAAAAACAAATTTGAATCTAAGAAACGAATTGAAGCCAGAAAACCTTGCTTTTACTCGAATTTTCTGAAAAGTAAACATTAAACTAAAGATATATTAAAGAATCTCTAAAAAATACTTCCAATTTCTTGTCAGAATCATGATTTTCTAAGTGATCATCGTTTTTGTTTTGCAAAAGGAAATTTGCTAATCCGAGGCAGCATTTAAACGGGATCGTTGCTTCATTTTTCAGTGGTTTTTTTGAAGAATTTAAAACCAGCTTTTCAAAATAAAATAACAAAAATATTATTGAGATTCTAAAGCTTACGTTGATAGCAATTTCAAAAAAGGTCATTATTATAATTTCATTTTCCAGACGCTCACCGCAAACCAACAGAAAAAACGCCAATGTTGCGCCACGAGTTCTTGAATGGAGTGAATCGGACATATTTGAAGACGGATCCGGAATGGCATCATTATGAGACATGTTTGGGCTATCGGTGAGTGCAAAAGTCGAAATTTCAAAAGGAAAATACAAATACAAAAATACAAAACGAAAAACACAAGAGATTCGGGTTTTTTTTTCGTCTTTAGACACTACATTTAAAAAGCTATTTAGAAAGAAGCAATTCACCGATTTCCCTACCGATATCAACATAAGTTTCTGTGAGCAAAAATGCCTAAATTGAGTCTTTTTTTCACTATCCGACTTTGCGCTTTTATAAAAATCTAGAGAGAAAACATTTTCATTGGATTTGAACGTTATTTTGTCGAAGAATAGTAGGCATTTCTAATGTTTTTTTGTTAATTTCTATTTAGAAAGAAGCAATTCACCGATTTCCCTACCGTTTTCTTTATTAGAAAGGCCTACTATTTTTCGATAAAATACCGTTCAAACCCTAAGAAAATGTTTTCTCTCTAGATTTTTATAAAAGCGTGAAGCCGGATAGTCAAAAAAAGACTCGATTTAGGCATTTTTGCTCACAGAAACTTATGTTGATACCAATAGAAGAATGATAGAGCATAAAAAGGTCGGTACAGGGGCAAATTTTCAGAATAATCTGTTCAGTCGATTTCTTTCTAGAGCTTTTTATTAAATTTGATTAAAAACGAGCTTTTGCACCTGAATTTGCTTCGAAATAGACTCAAATTAGCTTAAAAAGATTAAAAAAAGTTAACGATGATCATTTTCAATCGGTGAATCTTTCATTTACGAACGCTAATTAGCCAAAGACTTATTGGCCAATCTATTAGGTTGTTCGGATCTAAACGAGCGTTTGCACTGCTTAACTCGTGAGGAAGCCATTTCCCGCATCTGATCGCCTTTCCAATGGCGTGAAGATGCTCATCAATGGTAGAATTTGAACATAGAAACTGTTGCGCAAGTTCACGCGTCGTTTGACATGGATCCGATTCGATTGCACGATTGCGTTGTCTACCGCTTGAGGTCGACGAGAGTGTTCATGATCCTCGAGACTTTCATCACCGTTCCGAAAGCGTTAGGTACCAGGCTCGGCATCGACTTTCGAACAATACATCATTCCCAAATGCTTTGACCAAATCTCGATGGGATTCCGCGACTGTTTTGCCCAATTTGAAGTCGTAAAGTAGGCAGACGCGAACTTGATGCTTGAAGTCGGTCATCTAAAGCTGAAGTCGTAAGGTAGGCAGACGCGAAGTTGATATATTTGAGGTCGGTCATCTAAAGCAAGAAAAAAGATCTTCAAAATAAGAAATTATCCGTTTAAAAAGATTCCAAATATACACAAGATAACCTACATTTAAATACAGAAAGACATGTTTTAAAAGCTTCCCTCACAACAATAAGTTTAGTAATGCTTGTTTATATCCGAACAACATAATAATAGAAAGACATTCAAATAAAATAATATAATAACCAAGACTAAAACCATTAAAAAATCAAAGAATGTTTCAATTTTGACGTCGATTAAGCTCAATCTTTAAGCTCTAATCGTCTTTAAGCTTTCAGCATTAAGCTTAATTTGAAATACTTTTTGATGTGATGGCGGTATTTCAATTTTGACATCTTCTCAAGGAGCGGCTAGTAATAAAGTGAGAAAAGCTACAAATTATAGAAGAGTTTTGTGCATTATTTAGTCTTGAGTACTCTTTATATAAAAGTCTCTATGGCCTTAAATTTTCAGACTTTGAATCTTGGCAGCTCTTTGCATTAAACGTTGACTTTAGTACTTGAGATTGATTTTTTTAAAACCCAACTTTTTCAAATTCAGCTACAACGTTTCCGGCCATCAAACGGTTCTCAAGACGCATTTGTGCGATATGGATGGGAATCGGCATTGCTGGAGTGAGGTTAGGTTCAAAAAAAGCATTGATAGTTTGGCAGGTGTACTTTGTTTATTTCTATTCTTGGAGTTAGATCTATAACAATATTATTTTATAGGTAAATCTCTAATTTTCCTTTAGATTCACGAGTCAACAAATTCCGAGGAGCACTGTGCCGTGATTCGTCCCTTTTTGCGGGGCGTTCATTTGTACTCATGGTTTTTCGGTGAGGGAAATTTGAGAAGATTTAGAAGATTGAAAATTAAACAAATAGTGATTAAAAGAAATTTTAGAAGTCGTTAATTTTCATAAATATTAGAAGAAATTTTAGAATATGTTTTTCACAAATAGAGATTTTTACAAAAGATTTTCATAAATAGAGATTTGATGGCTTGAAAGGAGCACTATTAAAGACATCTGGCTCTCGATGAAACCGTTCAATTTGAAACTTAACTTCTTTTTTGAAAAGTCAACTTTTTAAAGCTAAAACAGATTTAGAAGCTTTTTTTTAACAAGAAAGAAGAAAAATAAGAGGAGAATTTAAAGAGAAGTTACCTTTCCAAGATTTCAAAAAGGAATTAATACAGCAACCATGACTTTTTTAACAACTTTTTTGAAACACAACTTCTCTTGCATAATCTCAGCACCCAAATTCTGTATCTTTGTCAAAAGTCAAGCGGAAAATCAACTTAATCTTATATCTATTGGGTTGGTGGAAAAGTCCTTTCCGATTTTTTGGGAGAGTACCTTAAATTTGTCGAATTTTGACGTTTTATAGCTCATCCTAAAGCTGAATTGAAGACAGATCGATTGGTAAAAACTGTTTTGAGATATCTCTTTTCTAAAAGTTTTTACAGCTATTTTAGTAAAGGGCGGCAGAGCCAAAAAATGGCTGTTTTCACATTTCGTTAGTTTTCCGTGCAGAAACCTAGGCTAAAAACATGTGTTTCGTGATCAGCGTCAAAAATAAGCCCTAGACACAAATTTTCAGAATCTTAGCAAAAAATTTTTTAAAAGATTGTCACCGGTGGAAGTCGAACCAGCGACCCTCAGATCATTAGCCTTTCCGCCGCTTTTCGCGATTTTCTCGGTTTTTTTCTTTTTTTTTTCTTTTGTACCCTGAAAAAAGCCCTCTAACAACATCAAATAATGATAAAACAAAAAAAAACCGAGAAAATCGCGAAAAGCGGCGGAAAGGCTAATGATCTGAGGGTCGCTGGTTCGACTTCCACCGGTGACAATCTTTTAAAAAATTTTTTGCTAAGATTCTGAAAATTTGTGTCTAGGGCTTATTTTGGACGCTGATCACGAAACACATGTTTTTAGCCTAGGTTTCTGCACGGAAAACTAACGAAATGTGAAAACAGCCATTTTTTGGCTCTGCCGCCCTTTACTAAAATAGCTGTAAAAACTTTTAGAAAAGAGATATCTCAAAACAGTTTTTACCAATCGATCTGTCTTCAATTCAGCTTTAGGATGAGCTATAAAACGTCAAAATTCGACAAATTTAAGGTACTCTCCCAAAAAATCGGAAAGGACTTTTCCACCAACCCAATAGACACTTTATTCAAGACATGAAGTAAAGTGAAAAAGCTTCAATATATAGAGGTAGTAACCCTTAAGAAACATAGAAATTAATGGCAAACAGAATAAATTAAATTCAATCAATTGCCTAAAAGAGAGGAGAGATTTAGGTTAATGAATAATTAAGGAGATTAATGAATCATTTTCTTTTAGGTGTTTTCTTTTATTAGCATTTGTGAGTGTTGTGTGTAGATGGACCCTTTAAAACATTTGAAACATACTTTATGACAACAAAATTTGGTAAAACTTCTTAGGTATTTTCGAATAGACTTTTAAAGAATACATGGTTATCTATTCAACGAATACATGGTTATCTATCTATCTATTCAACGCGAAACATTTGAAAAATCAAATGATAAAATACTGTAAACTGATAAATTGTGGTACAATTTGTAAATAAATAAAGATTAAACAAGTTTCCAAACATTTCTTGTCATTTCAGAGCTCACAATGAAACCCCATGACTATTCGCCGACATCCAAAAATCGAAAAGAACAGAAAAAAGACGAAACCCTTGCTTCTCTTTTACTTCTAAAAGCCAATCGATGCTTTGATATTTGCTGATCACTTTTTTTCGTAAATAAATATTTAGCCTCTTTTAAATCTATCTGCTTTAAATCTATTTAAATCTACATCTAAAAACAATCAAGAAATAATGATGTGGATCAATAGCCCAATAATCTCAGTGTTGTTTAGTATAGATCGCCCATTTATGCAACATTAAGTTTATTAGAGATAGTTCTATCTATAATAAATCGACAAATTTCGATCTTGTTACAATCTTGGAATTGTTGGGATTATGCAGTATTATCTTAAACACACCCAAGCAAATCTGGGCCAGTCAAAGTCTAGAAGTCAGACCAAAACCTTAGGGCAGGTCCTGGCCTAACTCTGATCTTCAGAAGCCAAGCCAGGCCAGAATTTAGTTAAAATATTACTCAGCAACTCATTAGCCTCGAGCACTTGTTTATAACAAGCTTACATCCGGAACGAATCGTCTAGCGAGCGTTGACCATCGCGTGTGCACCAATTTAGCAAAAGTTCTAAACTTTTAAGATGAGATTTTTAGCTTTATATACCGCTTCCTTTATTATATATATGTTATGTCCGTTATTGAATTCCCTTACCTATAATTCAACAATTTTCAAACAAACAAGTTATACTTACTAACTCGTAAAGGTTGGACGTCAACATCTAGGTTCGACGATTCAATAGCGAACGCCCGTTTTTGAATCTATAACGGACGTCCGGTTCTGAACCGGATGAAATTCAATAACCGACGAAACATATCTTATTTAAAATTTGCCTACTTCATCTCCGGATCCCGGATTCTCAGCAAAAAGGTTGCATTCTCGACGTAATCGGGTAAACTTGTCAACTCCAAATATTGCTTTTTGTCGAAATTGTCGTCGCAGAATTTGGCGAAATTTTCTTTCTTCATTCGGAACGATAATCTAAACAATTTCTCAATTTTGAAAGCTCATAGAAACTGACGCATTGAAATTGGCGAGGACTTGTTCGGGTTCGTACTTTAGCACCGGGCCCGGGCAATACTCTGGAAGACCGAAACGTCATTCGATGATTGGGCCTAAAATTTTGATATACGAGAACAAATCAATAAACATGCAAATTGGAATATTGCCTAACCACATCATAAACACACAAGTACTGCACCAGTTTCCTAACAGTGGTCATGAAAACAACTCGGTCATCGAACTTGCGACCAATGAGACGTTTCGCATCTAAATTCACACATTCAGTACTTAGACATAGAAACTAACCAAAAACAATGTTGTGTAGGTCCATTGCCACTTGATTTTTGGCGGCCTCACCGACCAGACGCTCCGACTCAGTGAAGGCCACATACGAAGGGGTTGTTCGGTTTCCTAAAATTAAAAAGTAGTCATCTAAAGCAAATCATTAAATCTTCGACAATGTTTCTAGTCAACCAGAGTTTACAATTAAATTAAGCAGTTAAAGCTTACTCTAAAAGCATTTTGATTAGAACATACAAAGTTAACCTTGATCATTCGCAATGATTTCCACTTTGCCGTGCATGAAGACTCCGACACACGAGTAGGTCGTTCCAAGATCGATTCCAACAGCGTTTGCTTTGGTCATTTTGTTCCTTGTTGCAAGTTGATTATACAACTACCTGTAAATAAAAAAGTTAACTCCATAAAGGGAAGAAATGAAAAAAATGAATGAAATTGGTGACAAAGTTCGTTTCAATACCGCACAAATGGGCCTGGAATCCTCGGGAAAGGCAAGGCAATTCCGTAAACGGAACCATAGGCATCATTTACGGCATAATCAACAATCAATATTTTGTGCAATAAGCAAGTTCATAAAACAAGATTGAAATTTTCTTTAAACTTTTATTTATTCACACAATAGACAATTTATTGTTGCTGATCAGCTTGAAATTGTTATACTTCCATTCGATAAAAACCGAGATATTCAATTGCTTCATCGCATCCATCCCCAAAATGTTGAGTTCCCTGAAATTCTCTTGAGTTGAAACAGTTGCATCAATGAGAGTGCCCTTAACCTAAACATTTTAAAATTATTCAGTTTTCGGCAAAAACGAACAAACCTGGATTGCAACAGAAAGGCTGTTCCCTTCAGCCTTTGCAGGGTCGGAAAGTCTTTTGATCGCGGCTTTACACAGGTAGGTTGCGGGAGCTCCGGTGTCACAGATGAACTAGATGCGAAGACCGTCTTGCTCCTTCTTCGTGGAACTTTGCACCACTAACGGTATCATCAAGCGCTTGTTGTGTCCATGGATCCAGCCATCGAGAGAAAGATCATCCGAGTCAGTAGACATCTGACCGACGCTATACTGCTCAACTCCGTGAATAAGACCAAGCTAAAAGAACAGAATTAAAAGCATGAATAAAATCCCCTTCTTACCTCAAACAGTGTGTTTGCATTTATATCTATAAGGGCTACATCTTGATCATGAATGGCGGGCTTGAGAGGGCTTTCCTAAATAAAAAAAGCTCTCGTACAGGTAAGGTAGATAAAAAGTAAAGTATAAGAAAGAATATACTGAACAATACAATATAGAAATAAATATTTACCTTTGGTGCATTTTTGCGCTTCTTTGATCGACTGCGCGAACGGGTACGTGAAGAGATCGGGGCATCCTCACCTTCAAAGGTACGCTTCAAAGGAGCGACCCCTAAAAGAAAAACAATAACGCGGAACAAGTGCAAAAGTAAAAGCAAATTTTCATGACGTAAGAAAAGATCGAATAAAGTTAATTAATAGACAAAACCCCCGTGGGATGCAAGGAAACCCCGAATCAAAGAATAGATAACAGAAGAAAGGCAAATGAAACTAACTTTTTGTAGGCAACCGGCGACGGGTTGATGGACGAATGATAATCTTTGAAGCTCTCGCTTTACTTTTATTTGGCCGTTAAATGCAAATTAGCTGCTGCTGAAATTCAAATTTCGCATTTTCAGACATTTCCCCGTCAAATATGCAAATTAAGATTGGTGGATTGAAGTGAAATTTATAGAGAACCTTGCCACATACTCTTTCATTCAAATCCAATAGTCGTTTTGGAATCTGAAGCAGATTTAAATGCTATTAATAGCATCGAAATGAGTACCTGGAACTTTTGCAACTTGTTGAGCGCATTAAACAAAACTGAATAACAAAAGTGTTAGGTTGAGGAAAAAGTAATATATATGCTTTATTCAGGGGACGAATAGAAGCGAATCAGATAATCATAACCGCATATAACATATTGCTACAATACTTTCACAAAAAGAAAGAAAACTAAAAATAATCTACGATAAGACTAGAATTAGGAAACACAGGTACAAAAAGATTAAATATAGGGCAGATTTGACATGGCAATAAGATCGACTTTGAATAACTTTGAATAAATCTCGAAAAAGAGGGATAGGTTGCCTGCGCTTTGCAATTTTGAAACATTCTATTAAATCCGTGACCAAGCGGCGGTGTCTAAGAGATTTAAGATCAAAAATTTTGAGTCTATCTGTGTAACTAAAGTATGCAAATTTGGAAAAATCTATTTTCCATAGAGCTATCTTAGTATATCTCTGCTGGATTGCTATAAAATTCTTTTCCACCCTAAGTCGCATCCAGAATTTCAAAGCCTCTTGAAAATTGTGGAAATTCCTAGAAGTACATGTAGTCATCCTTATCAAATTTCGATCAGTTTCCATCCCCAAATCAGAAAAGCTGCTTAAATTTGAAACTCAACCTTTTTTTCAAAAATTCTGAACTTAGGTACTTTATTTTTATTTATTTATTATCAAATAGGTACTTTAATATTTATTTTTAAGTTCTTAATTAGATATTTGAATGAAGCTTTAAGCAAACTCAAGTAATTACGATCAATTTGTTTTTATTTTTGTAGAACAACTAATGACAAATTTCAATCAGAAAAACCGCTTTAATTGAAACCGAAATTTTTTTTCTGATAGTGGAATTGAAGCTTAATTTACATTTAAGAAATGGCCTACACTCGAGAATCCAATTTTTCAGTCAAAAGGGGAAAAAAGGGACAAAAGCCCAACAAAAATCGATCGATTACGCGTCGCCTTTCTTTTGAAAGAAAAAGCTAATTCTCAAACGAATATTCTTGTTTCAAGATTTTGAAACAAGGTGTTTAAAACTTTGAAATCTTTTCAGTTGTTTATTTCTCTTAAAATTCATCAATGTCCGGAAAGATTCAAAAAAATCGCTTTAAAAAGGGAAACACTGAGGATAAATACATTGTGGTGGATCACGATCGGTGGGTTTTTCGAAGGCAAAAAACTCTTATTAAACCTAGAAAATTTTCTAATTGAAATCTAAAGCTTAGCATTGCTATTAGGTTGGTGAATTGAAAACTGCGGGACTTTGAACTAAAATTTACTCAACATAAAACCATAAATTCATTCTAAATAACTTCCATTATTATTGACGACTTCTGCCCATTTTACAGGCAATTTGCGGATTCCTCTTTCGTAGTAGGATTTTGGTTTGTGTGTGAGACAAGTGTGAGACTCAAAAATGGAGGACTGGAGATATCCCAGTGTCCCAGTTTGAGCACTTTCTTCAAAAGAAACCCATTTTGGTGTCAATAGAAAAGTTGTAGCGAATCAAAAATTAGGCTTATAGCCAAATTTCCAAAAAGATACACTTAGTAGTTTCGCTTAAAATGCTAGTTTTGTGAAAATTCGTAAATTTCTCATTTCTTGAAAACAAGTTTTTGAATCGTTCTGAAAATTTGGATATAAGCTTGATTTTTGATTCTCTACAACTTTTCCATTGACACCAAAATGGGTTTCTTTTGAAGAAAGTGCTCAAACCGTGACATATGATAATAGCCCGCAGTTTTCAATTCACCAACCCAATAAAAGCCAAAATTTGCCCTTTATTATTTCATTTTCTATATAAAATGAAGAACTTTTTATATTACAGAGAAATCGCGGAACGCTTCTATCGAGTGGATTCATCTTGGATTCACTCAAAAAGAAATCAACGTTTCTATTCGAATGAAGTAAATGCATTGGAACTTTTGGGGGAAAATGAGAATATTGTGAAAATGTTAAATAAAAGAACAGTGGACAAAAATGGAATGCATTTCTTGGTCGTTTCATTGGAATACATCAAGATGACATCACTCAATAAAAGTAAGCTTTCATTTGACTTTAATAGAGAAAATTTACATATGGGATTTGTGTAATTTCAAAATTTCCTTTTAAAGTACTCAAAAAGTACTCAAAAAGAATTTTTGAAGCTACAATTATAATTTTTTTTATTTCTTTGATAGTTGTCAAAGGTTGCTTTTGAATGGATTATATTTATTTGTATTTTTTTTAAAAGTAACATAACAGAAAACGTCTAAAACAGTCTAAATTCCACACAATCCAAAAACCAAGTCTGTTCAAGTTTTACACCAAAAATAATCCTTGCATTTTTGCCTACATAATGGGTAAAACAGTTTTTTAAAAAAGTTAATATTTAATAGATAAAAAGAGCGCTCAAAATGGGTCAAAAGTGGTACTCAGCTGGTAAGCTGAATATCTTCCATGTAGACCGATTTTCAGTTCTCTTTTTATCGATGAAATATGAACTTTTTTGAAAAACTGTTTCACCCATCGTGTAGCCAAGAATACAGGAATTTTTTTGATATAAAACTTGAACCGGCTTGGTTTTTGGATTGTGAGAAATTTGACACCGCTGTTTTTCAGCGGTGTCAAATTTTTGTTTTTTATTCGCGGTTGTTTAACTACATCCCTATTTTTCCCTTTTTTTCTCTTCTCTTTCGGTTTCTAAAATGTGACAAAAGCTACCGTAGTCCGCCTCTACTTTTATCCGATTTTCGATTTTGACATCTCAAGAAATCAGATAAAAACGATTCTGTCAAGCAAGAACTATTAGGCCACTCACAAACAATTTAACGTTCATCACTTTGAAACTTTATTTTTTTAAAGCTAGTTAGTCTTTTAATTCAATTTTACTGGTTTTTTTACTGGATTTTTACTGGATTTTTTTTATCTTTTCTGGCTCTTTTTCATTCATTTTACTATCAAAGCATAGCAATGAACTTGTTTTTTTCAAATTGAACCCTTTTAAAAGTTAAGGTGAAAGCTTTAATGGAACCAAAATGAAACCAGGTTAAAAGAACAAGTTTTATAAATCAGATATCTGTTTTTTTTTGGTAATCTTTTTAGTAATCCTTTCTCCTTGCTACAAATACACGGCGAAAACAGTTGGTGAGTGGTTGAGGCAATTATTCTCGGCGGCCGCGTTTCTTCACCAAAAACAGCTCGTTCATCGGGACATTAAACCGTCAAAGTGAGGAAATCTATTCATTTTTATTTAAGCAATAGAAAAATAATATATAAGTTTATTGAAGATTCTTTTTACAAAAGCAAGTTTCAAAATTGGGTCTTTATTCGTGACCGTGAGTGACATAATAATGCTTCGTTAACCTGTAAAGCTAATTTGTTTTTAAAATTTTACGAAAAAAGCAGTAAAAAGATTTAGCTTTTCTTATTTTATGTTGAATTTATGATTAAAATATTAAAATTTCCCTATAGAAAGCCAAGGGATCGATTTTGAAACTCTAGAATAAAAAAGCTATCTTCGGAAAGTTTTGAGAAGATAATTTTCAAAATTTTTAATTGTAATAACTGGAAAAGCTTTGAAAAGCTTTACTTTGATTAATTTGAAACTAGGTTTGCTTAAAATTAACAAAAATTGTTTTGGTCGTTTCGTTCAATTCCCCGGGTCATCCCAGGCAACTCGATTAGCCGTTTCCAAGTTGTTTTCAATCTGTTTTCAATCTGTTAACGTTTAAAGTTAGCTTAAATGATCTTTTGGTATGTTAATGAAAGTGGACTTTTATTTTTTATCATTATTTTTATAAAAACCTTTTCAGCATTCTCGTCACCGACAATTTCCACTTGAAAATCACAGATTTCGAGTGTTGCAAATCGGTGGATCCGGCGAAAACGAACACTTTCGACGTGGGAACGATTCGTTATAAACCCCCAGAGTCCAAGGGATTCAATCCGATTAATGGAAGGACTTTGGTGAGAAAAACTAACACCAAAAAAAGTTTAGAGCAAATAATTCGATTCCATGTAGACGATCAAGACGACTAAAGTCTTAAACCCTAATTTGTACAGCCATTTTTTGAAACAATAACTTTGAAATTTGAAACAACAACAGTCAAAAACCTAGTTTTCTATTGCAAAACTGCAGAACTACGAATTTATAATGTAGACATTTAAAATTTTTTAGATTTTAGAAAGCTTTTCAATTCTTGAAATCATTTTCAGTTCACAGACAGCGGTGATGTGTTCTCGATCGGGATCACCGGATGGGAAATCATTATGAGAAGGTTGATTCTTGAAGGATTGGAAAGCTTTCAAAAACTACTACTGATACCAGTTTTTTTTCCTGTTTACGGTTCAAAATTTAAACAAATGCTTTAATTTAAACTAAAACCACAAAGATTATCTCTGTAAACCTTTTGTTTGAAATGTGCATGTTTCAATTGCGAACATCACCGCTGCAGGTTTAACAATTTAATAAACATCGCGTTTTCCTTGAGCTGAAATCAATCTACCGTGAGGACTAGGGCGTATTCCTCGCGAGTAAGTAATTACTCGAGTAAAATTTGCATGAGTAACTTTTACTCGATTAATCGACGTTTTTTGGTCGAATAACTACGAGTGATCCTCTTTAAACGTCGAGTAAATTGAATGTCTTTACTTGTGAAGGGGATTTGCCACTAAATCAGTTAAACGAGTACGGTAATATCTTTAAAAAGAGTCTTATATAAATCGTCGCTCGTGATCGGAATGTGAATTTTTTGCAATAATTTTCGCTAAAAGTACGGTAATTTTTCCTAAGTGTGCGATTTTAAGAGGTTGAAAAATAGAAGACAACCTCGTGGAAGCTTCTATGAGAGTTTTTACGGTGATCAGACTTTTCAGTGAATGCATTCTCGAAGAATCGATCGACGATTCCGGGTCAATGATGTTCATCAATGATGTTCATCGAACCCCCAGATTGAGATGCATTCGCGAATTCGAGGAATTGATCACAAAGTGAGCATAAAGATCTTAAAGAAAAGGAAATCTTTATGAAATTTCTACGAGAAAACAGCTCAATATTTTTATGATAATATGAGGAAAATGTTTCAATTTCAAAGGACACGAATTTCCAGCTCCACCTCGATCTCTCACCACCTTCGACCGACAGCTTTGGCCGCTAAAAGCCATTTAGAGGAAGCGTTGAAAGTTTAAAAAATAAACCATACTCAAAATTCGAAAAGTTTAGAACAACTACTTCAACTCCCTCAAATTCGAGCCGGATTTCGATGAGACTTTGACAAAAATTCATTTACCATTCGATGTAAAACTGATAAAATCTGATGGAAATGACGAGGAAAGCAGGTGAATTTTTGAATTCGGCAAACAAAGCAAACTTTCCAAAGAAAACTTTCCAAAGCAAACTCAGGGAATCTTTCACTCCTCCATCAGTCGATTTTTGACCCGAGGATGCAAATTTTCCGATTGGTATCGAGAGCACACAATCAACGTGTGGGCTAGTGAATTAAAAAACAAATTATGCAAAAGTTCTATCTCTAAGAGTTTTTTTTGGAATACTGTAGGTATGAAAACGGCACTTGTTGCCGATGAGTACTCCTAATCGGGTTTTTCCGTCCTCTATATTCACTCAAACTATTAGTACTACTCAAGTTGTCCAAAAATGGTGTCAACTTTGCCAAATAATCTTCGAACTTGTTCATTTTTAGCAAATACTTTCTTATCAACACGTGAATTCCATAATAAAAAGCTTAGTTGATAACCAAAATTGGAGCATTTGTTGATAAAAATTTCAATGTTTCAAAAGTTCTTGAAAATAAAAACTTTATTTCAGTTTAATAATTTTGTTTCATGTTTCTTTTTTATTTTGTAAATTCGAGTTGGTTCTACTTTTTTGTTTGTTTTGAACACGTTGTGATTTATTGACTCATGTTGCTTTTGTGCGGGCTGCTCACCGGAGCGAAAGGTTCCGAGTCATCGGGGAAGTTGGAATAAATATCGTGTCGTGAGTTGTTGAGTAAATTCCATCAGTGAGATCAGAGATCTCCAGCATGAAATATTGCGATCTGATTGAAGGAGTACCGGGCAAGCAAAATAGATTTCTTACAAACACTATAAACGCGAAAAAGCAGCGAAAACCCAGCAAAGAATGCATAAAAATTGAATTTTTGCGCAGCAAGAACTTTTTCCTCAATCTAATAATTAGTGTTGCAGATTGCCAAAAGAAAGGGATGAGAAGGCCACTCATCGTATTTTCTTAATAGAATTCTTGAAATAACTATTGTTGTATCTTTTTGACGAAGTACTATTGTTTAAAATATTGGGTTGCTGAATTGGAAACTGCGGGCTATTGTCATATGTGACAGTTTGAGCACTTTCTTCAAAAGAAACCCATTTTGGTGTCAATGGAAAAGTTGTAGAGAATCAAAAATCAAGCTTAAAACTAAATTTTCAGAACGATTCAAAAACTAGTTTTCAAGAAATGCCAAATTTACGAATTTTCACAAAACTTGCATTTTAAGCGGAACTACTAAGTGTATCTTTTTGGGAATTTGGCTATAAGTCTAATTTTTGATCCTCTACAACTTTTCTATTGACACCAAAATGGGTTTCTTTTGAAGAAAGTGCTCAAATGCTCAAACTGGGACATCTCCAGTCCTCGATTTTTGAGTCTCACACTTGTCTCACACACAAACCAAAATCCTACTACAAAAGAGGAATCCGCAAATGCCTGTAAAATGGGCAGAAGTCGTCAACAATAATGGAAATTATTTCGAATGAATTCAGGGTTTTATGCTAAATAAATTTTAGTTCAAAGTCCGGCAGTTTTCAATTCACCAATCCAATAATAATTAGTGTTGCAGATTGCCAAAAGAAAGGGATGAGAAGGCCACTCATCGTATTTTCTTAATAGAATTCTTGAAATAACTATTGTTGTATCTTTTTGACGAAGTACTATTGTTTAAAATAGTTTCTAACATGTTTAAAATTGTGACTTTTTTTAAACGCATAATTTCTACGATATAGGACATTGATATTCGTGATCAGCTTTCAGCTCAGTGATCAGCTCAAGAAAAGAAAACCCAATTTCAACAATTCCTCACATTAGTTCTCGATCTTTGATCAAATCCCTATAGATTTCTTTTTTTCTTCTCAAAATAAATAATTCGAAAAAAATGGGGTGACTCAAATGTTTTTGCTTCGTCAAAACAAAAGAAAAACATTCGTCAATCAGAAGAAATCTTTGTGTTTTTCATTTGAGAAAAGAATCAATATGATCTCAATTCAGAAATTTTGATTTTCTTATTTCCAATTAAAAATTGATTGTTTCAAAATGCGGGAAATCAATGTGGAAAGCTTTCTTTCAATAAAATCTTTTTTTTAATCTTTCTCTATTATTTCCACAATGCACACAAATTTGTTATTCAAAATTCTGTAATTTGAGTAGATTTGAGTTTCAAAATAAATGAATCTTTATTTGAACTTTAGATGCAAGATTTAGAACATCATTTGCACAAATAATTTTACGGTTTCAAAGTAAACTCGTAAATTCGTAACGATTTTTCTTTTAAACATCACTTTTTTTGGACTTGACGTGATTCAATTTTCTAAATTTCAATTTTAAATACGTTAAAAGCTCAATTGAACAGTATTTAAGCTTAAATTTTCTCAATTTCAAAAGAAATCATTTCATTTTCGATTCAATAAATGTTCAAGAAATGGAAAAAACTATAATAGATCGATTTGAATTTTGATTTCCATGAAAATTTCTGTTTCCAATTGAAATTTTATTGTTTCAAAATGGGTGGAATCAAGCCAGAAAGCACCATTTTAACAAAGGCTTAAAGTTTTTTTCCAAATTCACACGAATTTTTTGCAGAAAAGTAACTCTTTTCTGTGAAATCTTATTTAATTTTTTGATTTTGAATATCTCTGATTCTCCTTTTCTTCCCTCTAAAGATCGTTTGTGTGATAAAAGGGACGGAGACCACTTTGTATTGCTTTTCTTTGGCTTTGAAACACTGAACCAACGATTGATTCGATTTTATTATATTTTCTAGATTCTAGATTAGTAATTGTGTTATATTCGTAATATAATATCGAATAATCATTGCCCCATCGGTACCCTCTCACACACTGCACATTTTGATTGAAGCTGAAGCGGTGGTGAACAGCAGACCGATCAATTTAATGTTTAAAATTCTGAAATTCGAAATATTTTAAAAAAAATAAATGAATATTTAATCGAACTTTAATGAATGCACGGTTTAGCCTACAATCTTTGCAATAGAATTCTGATTCAGAATGATTCAGTTCAAACTAAAGACCTTGACATCAATCAAGTTATTTCTCAAAAACTACACAATTTTGCAAATCAGCTAGAAACTAAAGCATTAGTCATAGAATTTCGTAGATTTTCTTTTTCCCCCAGATAGAAATCTCTCGTTTCAATGTGAGCCACTCATTTTTGACTTTTTAAACCCCCCAAAAATTCATTAAGAACTCCTACAATTGCAGATCAGAAATGGTTACAAAATAAACCCATTTTCCAATGTGATCTGTAATCCTTTTCTTTTTTCTTGCTTCTTTATCTTTATTTCTAAGATAAAACAGGTGAATCACTCGATTTAGAATTAGTGCATTACTCCAAATTCCAAAAAAATTCCAAAAACAATCCTTATTCTGAAGTTTTCCCTGTCGAAATTTTCGAATTCAAAATGGAGGTAAAATTTTCAGCAAACTTTTTGTAGAGCTTGATTTTTCATTTCCATATGCTATTCGCTTGCAAGGATTGCCAAAAGAGCTTCAAGTTCTCTCAAATGACAATCTGCGTAGAGAGTGTGAGCAAATTGTCTGAACAGGTGAGTTAAAAAAAGTTTTGTTTACTGAAAACTCTTTATTGAGAGTTACTGTGGTGCAATAACGGCTGTAATACTTTTATTTGGAATACTGTCGTCAAACTTTATCCTATCTCAACTATTTCTGTTGTGAAAGTCGTAGCTGAAAAAGTTGCGTTTCAAGCTAATTAATTAATAGTAAATTGGTAAACGCCCAATTAGTCGTCCTCGTTGATTTCTACATAAAAACGAGTTAACTATCAGTCACAATAAAGCGAACCAATAAAGAAAAAGTAAATACACTGTGTAAAAAGAAGGAGACTTTGCAAAATGCAACCTGTCCATGAGCTTTAGGGAGCAAAAAAAAAGTTAAGTTTCAACTTAATTAACACCAAATTAGTACGCGAGAAAATAATTGATGGGTACAAGCAGTTCGTAGAAGTTTTCCGATCAAACAGTGCTTTTGGAGCATCGCTGTGTCGCGATGGCGCAGTCGGGAGCGTGCTTTTCTCTAAACCACACGATCCGGGTTCGATTCCCGGGTGTTACACCCAAGTTTGATTTAAAATTTTTTTTAAATGGCACAACTACAATATATTTTAAGGTTTTCTAAATAAGTTTTAGCTTTTTTTGGCGAAAAGACGGCTGAGAAAAAGCCCGTAAAGACAGACAGACAGACGGACACTGCTCTTTTATATATAGATAATTGTCGTATAGAGTCAAGATGCGCAGGTGTTTCAGTGGTAGAATGCTCGCCTGCCAGGCGGGCGATCCGGGTTCGTTTCCCGGCCTGCGTGTTGCGATTCGAATGCACTTTCTGTGTAATTTCTAAGCTTTCAGAACAGAAGCAACCTTTTGACGGAATACAATTTTGGCACGAGCTAACTGGCAAAACAAACAGATTTACAGACAAAAATCTAGAGAAAACTTTTTCGCATAAATCTGTAGAAGAAGGGGGACAGAAAGGTACAAAAAATTGCCGCTTATATTGCCGAAAAACCAGGTCAGACTACGGTAGCTTATCCACAGTTTAGTTTAGACTGAATAGCTTTTTGGTGACAGTCATCACACTTGGCAATATTTACAAAAACTTTCAGATCAAACAGCGTCTTGTGTGTGAAATGTGTTTGGGAAAACACCGATTGGGAGCACATTCTCATTTCAAGGTAGGAGATCCGAGTTTCACAGGAAATGGCATGCTTGGAACCTAGAATCCAAAACAGTCACTGAATTTTTCCAGCTCGATCACCCTGAGAACAAGAGTGTCAACAGTGAAGCTGATCAATCGACTTCGTCAAACAGATTGAGAACACGTTGGAATGTAAGCTTTGATAATATATTAAAAAAAACGACAATAGTTTCGATAGTATTGGGTTGCTGAATTGAAAACTGCCGGCTATTGTCATATGTCAATGGAAATTATTTCGAATGAATTCATGGTTTTATGTTGAATAAATTTTAGTTCAAAGTCCCGCAGTTTTCAATTGACCAACCCAATAGATAAAAAACATGCAAATTGAGCTGAGAAGGAAATATTTTCAGCCTACCTCTAATGGAAATCCTTCGGGAACAGGATTTGGCCGTAGCAAGTGAGATCACTTGAGTATTCAATCAAAAATTAAAGTTTTAGTATCCCGAACAGTTGTAAGAACAAAGATCTTTTCAATAATGGCTATGCAGGGAGTGATGAACGAGGTTTGATTTTAAATATTTTAGTATTTACCTTTTAATTTTTCAATTTAACTTTTAAAACGGGTAAAGATAAACGCACATTAAACAGGGTTTTACTTTTTTCAGAAGGGATAACTTGAAACTGAAAATTGAAATTGAATTTCGCTTGAATTAAGCATTAAGGAAGATATTTGAAGTGTTTAAAGCTAATTTGACGTAAAAATTTTGAAGAAACCTTGATTTTAAAGCATTTTCTTGCACAGAATTCCTTAAATAGCTAACTTTTTGAAAGCTTTCAATTTCAAGTACTTCCTCGCGAGAGTCCACCACCGATCTACTCAGCTATTGCCCGACCGTCACCCCAAATTTCTAACGAGTTTTGAAGCAAAAAAAGCAATTTTAGTTTTCAATTAAGCTTTTTTCGACGAAATGTTGAAGAAAATGGGAATTTTGGATTGAGAAGGAGGGATCGATCGGTGGCGAGGAATGGGAATGCCGGAAGGAACACTTTTAAAGAGCCAGCTGATGTCATTGATTTGGGTGATGAGTCCGGTAAGACTTGGCTATCATAATCTAAAGGATTTTACATTTTATGGAGTATTCAAACACATTGAAAAGCCATATTTCAAAATTTGCAGTACTAATGAATCTAAAAAAGCCTAATTTACTAACGCTTTTATCTTATTCACTAGCGTGAATTCAATCATTCTTTTGCTCATATTGTGAAGCTGTTATTTATGGTGTTGTTGTGAAGTGCATTTTTTCAGATTCACTCGATGAATCTCCGCAAATTAATCGCCGAATCGAGTACGATTACAAGCAGATCGCCTATGGAGATGAGGCGAAAAAAAACGCGAAATTGACTCATTTAAAGGTGACAGGTAAAGTTTGGGAAAAGGAAAAAGGAAAAGGAAAGATTCTCTGCTTCTCTGCAAATTCCCAATATCCAATCGCAATCGACTCTAACTAATTTAAACATTATTTAAATTTTTGAAAAGAAAAAAGTTGAGTTTCAAAAGGTTAAACTCCAAAAACTGAAATTTTTACCAATTTTTAACCATCTTCAAGAGCAAACCTTCAAGAATAAAAACGAAACTTTTCCAATTTCCAGTTCCCCGTACAGCAATCGCCGATAATGTGTACGAATTCACGATCAGAAACACCACAAATCGAACGATGTTGATTCAAATTGTGCACTGGCAACCTCACGATTCACAAGAAGACAATCTCAGCTTTGAATTTCCGGACAAAGAAAAGGAAGAGGACGATCCACAATATAAAGTTTGATACAAAAAACTGACTAAAAACTTTTCAAAATTCAGAATTCTTTCGAAATCGAAAGTGGAAAGACGGGGAAAGTGAGAATCGATTTTTCAGCGGTTGAGGGAGTGATTCGTGAGTGGAGTGAGGTACGGAGTACCATTTGTGTGCCATCGGATCGCCAAATGCATTTCAGCAAACGGCTTTTGTTTTCTAAAGCGTAAAATCACATTGGATCCACGTTTTAGAAAACAAAAGTCGTTTGCTAGAATGTATTTGGCGATCCGATGGCTTATGTCTAGTACAGAGTAAACTTTCAAGGTGTTTCCCTTGCCCACTCAGCTGAATATCTTCTAATTTCGTGGAGAATTTCAAAGAAAAGGGACAGCTACGAAAAATCTACACAGAAAAAGAGGCGGCACTTTGTTTCATAGCTGCCCCATTTGTTTAAATTTTTCCACAAAATTGAAAGATATTCAACTAGGGTTCAACTTAGAGCTTTGAAAGTATACTAGGTTGGCAAGTTCTGAAATTTTGGTAAACTATGTAATCGATGAAGCGTTTTATTTTAAAAAGTATGCAATCACTCAAAAATATATTAGCTCATGAATGCTAGGAACCAGAATTTTGAACTCTTACATTAAAATGCCTGAAAAAGTTCTAAAATAAAACACCTTTAAAAAAATTCAAAAACATTTTGCAGATTAAGGATAGGGCTTTTGAATCAAGTAAACCGTTTTTTGATTGGATAAGTCGTTTTTTCAGAAAACACACTACCAAAAAACGATCGTTTATAACTTGCCAACCTAATAGTATAGAGATGGTATCACCATTCTTTTGTAATTCTGTTCTAAATTGCTTAGTTCTGTTGGAATTCAGAGAAAAAGCAATAAAAGTTATGCGAACAAAATTTTTTAAAGAAATCTAACTAAATTTCCCGTGACCAAATGAGTATTCCCAATTTTGAAACCTACTTTTTCTACCCCGTCTATTTCAAAATCAAAACAAAGTCTGTTCAGCAAAATATTAATTGTATTTTAAAGTTTTTCAAGATCTAGAATTTGTTAGTTCTATGTTTTTTGGTCATTCTTGGTGTTTAGAATAACTGAAATACAAAATTTTTTGTGTTATTTGATTACACATAACTTTCTAGAAAGATGAATAACTTGAAACTAAGTTTTTTAAAAAAAACTTGTCTCAATATTTATATCTTTGATAGCAATCAAAATAAGTTACTGCTTTTTTTGGACTTTTATTGCTTATTATTTGAATGCCATAAAGCCGATCATCATTAAACTAAGATTCAGATGAAATAAAAAATGAAATGCTCTTTTTACGGTGTTAAAACCTTGTGTATTTAAAAATTTAAGCTTTTTAAAAAATCGATAACATCAATTTCTAGAAAAACGACTCTTCTCTCTTTCCGTATGTGTTTTTTCGTGGTCTGGGTCGTTTATACGATGATGGAAGGCATGATTGTATGGAGTGGACAATACGATTCGAGAGTGATGAATCTGGGGAGTGAGTGAGAGAATAAGTTGTACACCGGAAACTCCGGATGTGCTTTGTTCGGAACACACAATAGTAGGCTATATCTTCACTTAACCAAGGCCTGCATTTCTCCCTACTCTTATTGGACGATCCCTAGATAGCTTGTTCTGGCAGTGAAGCGAAGAAGAAGACGGCTGGATAGGCTTCTCGAATTGAGGATCTGGGTTATGAGCCAGTGGGCGGGATCGAACCCGGGTCTCTAATTCCAGAGAGAGTCACATTGGCGTTGCGCCACCCCAGCGAAAGGGAAACATTGAGTAGAAACGCAAATCGTTTGTAGAATCGCAAATCAAGTTATTAAAGAGTCACATTGCCGTAGAGTTATTAAGTTATTAAAAAGTCTTAAAGTTTAGCTTAATTTGAAACTTGAACTTTTTGGGTTAATCATTTAAACGAAAACTGGGTTGTTTGAGTGTAAGTTGGCGGTTTAAAATGAAAATAAAAATGCATTAGCCAAGACTTTTGAACCAAGAGTCGTCTTAAGAGGAAAAATGAAAAAAATGAAATGTTAAGAGCGATCTAAAGTAGAGATTTTGTCAAGCTGTTCAAATTTTGAGGATAAAAGTTGATTTGTGATGTTATCGGCTTGCTAAAGTCAAATTTTCAAAGCTAAACGGCACAATTTGGCCTTTTACTTTGTCAATCCAAAATTTTGCGCATAAAGAAAAGAAAACGATCTCAATTTCTAAAGTTTTTCGCCTCTAAGCTTACGATTTTTCAAAATTTCAACAACATTTTAACGTGTCAATTAGTTTTTTTGAGTCAAATTTCTTCAAATTTTTCAGTTGGTGCCCCAAGTTCGACCGGAAGAAACCGAAAAAACATCGCTTTTACAAACCATAAACAAAAAGATTTCCTCAAACCATTTAAATTCACCATCTGGATTGAATATTTTGAAGCGAAGCAAGTAAATTTTTTCTTATTTTTTTGTTTTCCAAGAAATTTGCACAAGAAATTCGAACAGTTTTTGTCGTTTTTTTTAGACAAAAGCGAGGCCTATTTGCAGCTGTGTGAAGAATCGGAAAAAGCATAAAATGAGAAAAAGTATAGAGAAATTTTCCCAGGACATCTGTTTTCAAGAATACAATGGATTCATGTAAAAAAGAAAAATAGAAAATTTTGACAATGAACAGAATTTGCTTAATCACAAAAAATAAGCCTTATTTTGAAACATGGTTTTTTTTCTTCACTTGATTGGCTCGGATTGGCTCGGATTCAGATTTAATTTTTATTTATTTATTTGAAACAACGTTTTTATTTCTTGTCAAATTTTGATGCAAATTTTAAATTTGCATTACAAATTGCAGAATTAAGAACTCCTAAAATGGCAGATCAGAAATGGTTACAAAATAAACCCTTTTTCCAATGTGATCTGTAATCCTTTTCTTTTTTCTTGCTTCTTTATCTTTATTTCTAAGATAAAACAGCGAGGTCTATTTGCAGCTGTGTGAAGATTTCTTTGCGAATCAGAAAAAGTATAAAGCAATTTTCCCAGGACTTCTGTTTTCAAGAATACAATGGATTCATGTAAAAAAAGAAAAATAGGAAATGTTGACAAAAATTATCATGAATTGGATTTGCTTAATCACCAAAAATAGGCCTTATTTTGAAACACGGCTTTTTTTTCTTCACTTGATTGGCTCGGATTGGCTCGGATTCAGATTTAACTTTTTAAAAGTGAGAATAACTTTTTAAAATTTAATTTTCAACAAAATTAACTAATTTTAGAAAAAACTAACAAACAAAATTAGCTCTCCTTACGGATTCATTGGACGTGAACCTTTGGATATGGATTTACTTGAAACTAGCTTATCGATCGAAGTCTTGACGGTGCTCAATTTTAACGACAGTCCTTGTCCTTGTCAATGTTTAAGGTCCGTTTTTGAAAAATTCCGAAAAAACTTGAATGTTATTAAATAATAAGAAATGTTACATTTAAATAAAATAAATAAGAAAAAGCTCTTTTAAAAAAAATTTTATAAAGGAAACCCTTCCCGATCTCGTCGAATTTTAAAATATTCATTAGACCCTAATTTATTTGAAACAACGTTTTTATTTCTTGTCAAATTTTAATGCAAATTTTTGTTTAAAGTCTTCTTCGAAAACTTGAACGTTATTTAAATGTAGGATTTATAGTTCATAATTTAAAGCAACTATTGGGAAAGTAACCAATCACCAATCATTTTTCTTGAAAGAACTTGGGTTTTTGCCTTAAAAGATTTGAAAGAGCTACATTCTCAAAAAGCTTTCACAATACAGATTACTTTCTTTTCCTTTTTCTTTTCCTTGCTTCCTTGCTGACTTATTTTTGAATGGGTCATCTGGTGTTCACTTTGACTTTTTCGTCTTCCTATTCTTGTAATTGGATCTCTAGGCGATTACGCGATTGCTTTTTTTGGTTACCTTTTTGTCTGCGATCACCTCTTTCAATGATCGGATTTCAATTGTTGGCCTGTTAGTGATTCTTTCAAATCTAATCTGTCTGTACTAGAATGAAAGGACATTAGAACAACCAGTTATGCAAATCGAAACTATCTCTAAGTCTCTTTAAGTCAAAGTTTCAAGTTAGAGATCGTTAATTCTAATTGACGTTAATTGACTTAATTGAATTTTAAAAGCTTTGACAATACAGACTACTTTCGCTAAGCCTAAGCCTAAGCCTGAGCCTGAGCCTAAGCCTAACTCAACTTCCAGACACGACAACTACCTGAAAATTTGCCAGGATGCTCCTATGGGGGGCGGATGAGCATCGCGGGTGTCCCTTAGCTCCGAGAACTGGCTGAGATCCAGAAAATGGGGGTTTAGCTCAAGCCCAAATAGACTTAGTGCTAGGCGCTAGCCGCTAGCCTTCGCACTAAGTCCAAGCCTAAGCCTAAGCCTAAGCCTGAGCCTGAGCCTGAGCCTAAGCCTGCAAATACCCAATTGGCAATCTCTGGGGAGTCTGTTTACATAAAATTTCAACTTTTATAGTGGAAAAAAAGCTGATCAAAGATTCAACTGTGGATGACTCATCTTTTCCCCTCATTCTATAATTCTTGTTTTTGTTTTTTGTTGAATCAGAAGCAAGATCATGAAAAGAGTAAGTGGCTGAATAAAACTAATTTCCTTGACACTTTCCTAAGAAGATTACATCCAAAAGCTCACACAAACACAGCAAAACAAGTCAAAAACAAGGAATTTTCTTAGTTTTTCGCAAATTTGCTTATCACCGTTTGCTTTTAAACTTCTTCAACAAAATCATTGAAGAGTCAGTGTCAAATTTGACTAGAACAACCTTGAAATTTTAGTGAGAAAGCACGAAACGATCTACTGATAAAAAAAGCTTCAAAACACAACCTCTAACAAAACTATTTGACTTTTTAGATTTCATTCTAAACTCGTTCAACCCTGCATTAATCTGACTCGAAATTTATCCCAATCATTTGTCAAGGAATCCTCATTGAATCCATTTCCTTGAATCGTCTTGAACGGGTGACTCATCGCCTTTCATTCATTCCGAAATCCTCATTATCAGTGTAATCTCGTAGACATGAGAAAAAGCAGAGAGTGAATGTCTCATCGTGTCTAGCCTCGAAAAATAAATGACCATCGTCTCGATTGAAAGTGTGAAGTTGGGAGAATGAATGGGGAGAATAAATGGGGAGAATGAACGGGGAGAACGAATGGGGAGGATGAATGGGGAGAATGAATGGGGAGAATGAACAGGGAGAACGAACGGGGAGAATGAATGGGGAGAATGAATGGGGAGAATGAACGGGGAGGATGAATGAGGAGAATGAATGGGAAGATTTGGATACGGCAAAATGGACAAAGTCAAGGTGCCAATAGGCATAATTAAATAAGAATTTCAAAATGTGTTGGAAAAATCAATTCATTGATTGCTGAACAAATGATACCCATAAACTCAATTTTTTTAACTGATGCACGCATTGTTTCTCTAAAAGAAACTCTCTAAGTGTTTCCCCGCTAGATTAGTTAACAAAAATATCAAGGTTATCGGCAAAAACCCTATTGAAATCCTTTCGTTCAGCTTGATCCTATTGATTTTGGAAACTTGCAGCATTTAGTTGTAGCCCTGAAATTGAAAATTTTTCAACTCCATAAACTTTAGCTATTTACTTGAAAAAGTTAATTTTTAACTTAATCAATACTAAAATAAAAGCTGAATTTTGTCATTTAGTACTGCGTGCTTTTGTAGCTGTAAAATCCTTTTGCAAAAAACATTTAAGTGTTAAACTTTTTCACTTTGCCGACCGATTGTTAAAATATTTCAGAAACAGCATCTGATTTGCCTTCTTTCAAATATTCTCAAGTCTTAAATTGCTTTTTTCAGAAACATTTACAAAGTACATATTTTGTCAGTAAAGTTAAAGAATATATTGTGAACTATTTGTTTCCTTTCTGACTAGTATTTCGGGTTTAAAAAGCATTCAAATGGCTGAATAGCGTATTCTCTTTATTAGTACGCCAGTGTACGATTTTCTTCAACACCTCTCAAGCCTGGTGTACTATTAGAGGGTTCCGTTTTACAAGAAAGAACACTCTAAATAGTTTGTCTCTCCACTGGAGACTGTAGTCCATTCCCAGTTTCCTGGTCTTTTCAAGCTGAACTTACATTGACGACTATCCACAAGTGACAGAACCCGGAGAGGTGAAGAGGTGAAGAAATTGGCAAGAATAAAGATGAAGAGGTAAAGAAATTGGCAAGAAAAAGTTCATTTCCGGAGAGGGGATTGAATCCTCGACCTTTCGCTTTCGCTATTGCTCTAACCACTGAGCTATCCGGTACCTTAACTTGCCAAGAGAAACAAGGAAAGACAAGGGGGAAGACAAGTCAGCAGCCATTCCAGTTACCTTCCGAGTTTACTTTCTAGTGAAATTCACATAGCACTTCAATGGAACTGAATTGCTTCAATTCTTTCCATGGTCTGCCTGCCGTAATGCATGTTAAACTTTATTGCAGTTAGCAAAATTCCTTGTTTTAATTAGTCCGAAGAAAATTGAGAAAAACTTTGGAATGACTAGACTAGTACTCGATGTTCCAGTTTAATTTTTGACCCTGGAAAAGACAACAGAACTAGGAAAAGATGGCAAACGTTGAAAGGAATCACACAAACGTTTGTCATCTTTTATCTAGCTTTTATCTATTAAATATTCAAACCAACTTTAGATCTTATCCTTTTGAAACTAGATAACTTTTAGCTTATTGTCTTCAAATGATTGATTGCTTTCACATTTATGTGCAAGCTGATATTCACTCATTCATCTTTGCCTTCAAAATGGACAAGAGCGGTTTTGGCTTTGATATGGTGACAAATCGTAAGACTTTTAAGAAAGACAAAGCCTCAGTCTAACTCTTTTCCTTTCATACCTCTTTGTCTTCTTTTGTGTCATTCTATAAATTCTGCTTTGGCCACTTCTTTGTCTCATTCCAAATCGTTCATCAAAGCGACCAGATGCTCAACTTTTGACCTCTCATTTGAGACACGTTTCTCCTCTTTTTCTCTAAAGTTTGACCTCTAGGCAAGATTTGAAACTTACTTTATTTATTTATTGTTAATAATTGATTGACTGTAATCGTGGTCGATTAAAGTTTTTGACTTTTACTTAACCCTGAAAGAGTTGAAACCCTCTTTTTTCCTAGCTTCCCTTTTAAGTTGTCCTTTCAAGCTTTCCACAAAGTAAAGTCTTTTCAAATAAGCTTTGAAGTTATATAAACTAATATTTATATTAAACAAGTTTTATTTTAAGTAAAATTGCAGCAATTCCAATATTCAAAAGCTTGCTTATTTTTAAAACTCACTGTTATTATGCAAGAATTCAAAACATGAAACAATAGG